AACCTCAGATTCAAATATTCAGCTCTGTATTGGACACACTAACCCCTTGATGGTCTACTCTAATTTAGCTCCACCCTAATTCATTTAATCAGTAACTCTAAGTCATCGCTTCTCCAGACCCTCTTCTTCCTATATTCCCTGCCTTGGTTAGCAGCCCATCTGGTCACCTAATTCAGAAACACAGGCATCATCCTTTTCTATCATCTGTCCCACAAGCCAAAGTCAGTCTCTTACCTGATTCCAACAAAACTGTCTCTTCATTAATATCCCTCCATCTAGTCCTGCTCTCCTCAAATCCACTCTTAACTGTTGTCATCTTTCATTCAACAAACACATAGAATACCTACTTTGTGCCAGACATGATTTTAGGGATTCACAGGAAACAAAATCAAATCCCTACTCTCACAGAACTTACATACTATAGCCTGGGGGTTTCAGGATGATTCAAGTGCATCACATTTATTGTGCAGTTAAACCTCTCTGCTAATGATAATCTGTATTTCCAGCGGCTCCCTAGTACTAGCATCACTTCAGCTCTACCTCACATCATCAGGCATTGGATTCTCATCATGAACATACAACTTAGAATGATCCATCACATGCTCAGTTCGTTTGTAGTAGGGTTAGCACTCCTATGAGAATCTAATGCCCACCGCTCATCTCATAGGAGGTGGAGCTTATGTTGTGATGTAAGCAATGGGGAGCGGCTGTAAATGGCTGTAAATATGATGAAGCTTCATTCACTCACTTGGGGCCACTCACCTCCTGCTTTGCAGCCCAATTCCTAACAGGCCACAGACTTGTACTGGTCAGTGACCCAGGGGTTGGAGACCACAGGTCTACAGTGCGTGGCACAGAGTAGGTGCTCACTGGCATGGCATACAAGGCCTTCACGATCTGGTCTCTGCGCCTCTACCTATTTCCACACTGACACTCCACAAACTTTATGTTCCAGTTACTACTCATAGTTCTACCTAATTCCCACACTTTGCAAATACATATATACTTTCTCACACACACTCACTCTCTCCCATTAATTCATTTCACCAGCTCCTGCTTATGCCCTCAGTGATGGGCTAACTCCTACTTAACCTTTAAGATTCAGCTCAGAAGGTACATTCCTACATGAAGCCTCCCTGATCTCCACCAAATAGAGTTAAGTGTGTCTTCTTCCTGTCCCCATTGTTTCACAATACATATATTAAAAAAAAAAGTTACCTTCCAAACCAGGACACTTGAAAGTGAAAGGAGGAACTATTCATGATTATGCCTGGACAAAAGGTAGGAACCAGGATATCTGTTTAAGTATTTACACATCTACGGCATTTACACATCTATGATAACACTTATCGTGCCTGTGGTAAAATTCTGTTCATGTGTCTGGATCTTCTCCATCCCCAGATAAGGGGCAAACCTTAATCCATCTTTGTATTCTACGAACCTAAGTGCTAAGATAGGCAGCATTGACTTGAAGAGACTTACAATAAACCCTGGTACAAGTTACTAATGTTCGCTGCCACATATATCATTTCTTTGATACTAAGTGTGGGCTGAGCTAGTGAATTTTTGTAAGATACTGTTTTTAAAGAAGCATGACTGAAAAATTATCTACCAATTATTTACACAACAGTCAGGAACAGCCTGAAAATTTAAGACAGAGGAAACTAAATCTCTAAAGGGAAGTTACATCAAAAGATACACAATATTCACTTTTATTAAAACTGTATATGCCTCCAGCTTTTAGTATAAGAACAATTCAGCAGTGTTCTATTCCTAGTCTGTCTTTTTGAAAAAAGTATCTCCTACTTCAAAGGGAAAAAAAATGTTTGATGTTAAGAATGGTCAGTCATGAATCAAAGCAAAAGATAAAGCATTCAATGAAGAGTTTCTCAAAGCCAGGGAGAATCCATTTAAGGGTACTCAATTTAAAGGGAAATCCCCTTGGCTACTCTCCCAAACAAATTGTTCATAACAAGCAGAAGGATTTATACACACTCAACCACCTAAAGTCTACTTTTACATCCAGAAAAGACAATATTACAAAATGTTTGAAAAGAAGAGTTATCTATTTCTCAACAACACAATTAACAGCTGCAAAAATCAATCTCCTGGGGTACACTACTCTACTGAAATTCTCCAGAAGTTTTCTCTAGAAAAACAGTTTTTAAAAGGGTTCCCAGTATCACTCTTGTCACCAATCTCAGGGTGGGAGTAATCTGAAGTGCCTCGAAGCAAGTGCATATGATTGCAATTGCAAGCACTCTAAATTCACCTGTCCAAAGAATAGATTACTAAGCGTACAGGTGGTCTAATTAATCGCACTACCATTACAACTCGCTCCTCCTAGTCAAGTTTCTCTGTCTAGTATGAGCTCTCATAAACTCTCCAGCACTCAGTGTTACAATTTTATTTTAAACAGAAAGAGGACTCTTCCCCTTCACCTACCAACCAGTCCCATCCAAAGGGATGGAAAATTCTAAAACAAAAAACACATAAAAGATACACAAAATTACACACCACATTCTCATGAGTCCTCTTTTACATGTAGAACTGCACCACAAAATAATTGCTAATCACGTTACTATTTTTAATGAGGAGCCATAGAAGAAAAAGAAGAGAAATAACTTCCTTTAATAATCTGGCTTGAAGTTTAGCCAATGGTAAAAAGAGAAATAAGCAAGCTCAATATTGGAGTTCAGACCACAGTAAATTCAAGAACCTCAAGAGGCTTAACATAGCAGTAGACCCCCAAACTACTAGTCTTTCAACTAGTAAAAGCTAACAGAGCTTTGAGACAAATACACTTCAGAATTCTGTCAGGACATAAAATAACCAGGATTTAAAGGTACTTTCACCTACCTCTAACAAGTAAAACTCTAGCAAGCAAATTTCCTTTGGGTGCCCAGAGTCATTAACACCTGCATAACAGAAACTCAGAGAATTTCAATGAACACATAAGACTCAACCTCCAGGAGAAAGAGAGTTCATCCTCTTGGCTCTCTCCGACTCCACTTCAGGCCTAAATTTATTTCCAGGTGAAGCAACATCAGAGAAATCCTGAAATTTCCAAGAGATCCTGAAAACTAACCAAAGTTTCCAATTTTGATTGAATAAGAAAAAATACTTAGGGACTGGAAAATCTTCAGATTTCACATGCCAAACCAAAACAAATAAACTGAAGCACAAAACTTCAGCATACAAACTGCAGCTATTTTTGTTCCCTGGGCAACAAATGCCTGGAGAAGAGGATCCGGAACACCAGTAAAAATTCTGTAGCCCAAACAGCTTGGGTTCTTACAAATAATTGGGTTTCAGAGACTCCAAGAAAGAAAAAGGTGTACTAAGGTGTACTCCAGGTTTGTAAAAACCCCCAACACATATTCATCTTTTTTCGAACAACCTCTTTGAGGAAGAAAACTCACTTCGCAATAAAAGGGAAAATTAAAAGGTTGAGCTTCATTCATCTTAAGAGTGAATTATAGCAATTACATATATAACTACAGGGTGTCAAGAGACCCTTATGCTATGTATACCACAACCTCGCTGTATGACAGTTCTGAAGAAGTGACATCTCTGGGAAAAGTATAACCTGTTACTGTTGTCATCAGCAAATTTTTATAAGAACAGGCCTCAAAGTGTCTTAGCTATGTGGGTGAAAATCCGAAAGGAAGATATTTCACTTACAAGTCCTCTGATGCTTTGAACAGAAAATTCATACTCTCCCTCACTAGGCAGCTTCAAACACTCAAATTACTCTCTCCTTTGCTAAATCCTCAGTGAACAGTATCTTTGAACAGAGACACTTTGTCTTTGTCCAACATACATTCTTTGCAAAGTGTTTTCAGTTCTCTGCAAAGTGCCTAACTCCAGCCCAGCTTATGAAGTAAAACACCCTAGTCAGCGTTTCTCAAAGTGTGGTCCCTGGGCCACCTGCATTAGAATCACTGGGGAAACTGGTTAAAATGAAGATTCTCAGGCTCTATTCCAGAATCTCAGACTCAGTAGATCTTAAGAAAGACCCTAGGAGGAGCATTTCTAACAACCTCCCAGGTGTCTCCTACAGGACACTAAAGTTTGAAAACCACTGCTAAGGGTTCAAGCTGGGAGTAATCATTTGCTTCCCTCCACACACATGGTTTAGATTGGGAAAGCTCAAAATGTCACTGGCGTCCTTGAAATTGGGGTCGCTTTTACAGCCCCAGAGTCAAAAACGCACCACCCGTTACCCACCAGGAAGCGAAGGAGGAGCTTCCGACCCTTCCCGGAAACCTAACTCCCCCGGGTGAATAAACGAAGCTTCCCCAGACCCCCAGACGCTGCCAAATAGTGGGGGAGGGGAAGCTGGGGCCCCGCCGCCAGAGGGGGAGGAGCCGGCCTGCCAGCTCGCCCCTCCGCAGGAATTTGGCGAGGGGGGGGCGGTGCAGAAAAAGGCGCCACATCCCTCGCCGGCGGGGCACCTCACCCCACCCAACGCCTCGTGGGGTTGTCCCGTTCTTAGAGGAAGGTGGCCCCGCCCCCTCCGGCGGCGGGCAGGGCTTCGCCCCTCCCCCTCCCGGTAGGGGGTGCGCAGTGAGCCCACCCCCCACTGAGCCCCCCTCAGCTGCCCGCCTCACCAGGCGCGCGGCCTCGGCCCACGTGCGCTCCTTCTTCCTCTTCTGTTTGTCCTTCATCCTCCTCCTCCCCGGCGGCGGCTGCGGCTCCACGCGGGACCTCCGGGCGGGGCGGGCTGGGGCGGCGGTGCGGGACTGGGGCGGGGGCGGCGGCGGCGGCGGCGGCGGCGCGCGAGGACACGGGTGCGGCCGGGGAGAAGGGGCGGGCGCCCGGGGACCGGCTGGCGCGAGACCCGGCGCGAGGGCGACGGTGGGGGAGGGGCGGCGGCGGCTCCACGCGCCCGCGCTGCGTCAGTCGCCCACGGCGGCGGCGGCGGGCGGCGGCAGCCCCGCGATCGCTAAGGAATGCGGCGGCTCCGCATAACCACGGGGTCAGAGGTCACAGCTCCGGCCTCCGCTTTCCCGCTCTGCTCAGGGACCGCGACAGGACTGGCGGTGGGGCGGGAGGGCGAGACGCGGCTTTCCCTTCGGCGCCCGGGTGAGTGCGTGTCTGCCGTGGGTGTGTGTGAGTGTGTGTGAAGAGTGAGGAGGGGGAGTGTGGGTTTTTTTTTTTTTTTGAACAAAAACAAACCGAAAGGGCGACTGGGAATCGTAGTCCCAGCTGCCTATCTGGCCTCCCGCGCTCCGGAAGAATATGGCCGCCTGAAGCGCTTGGACCACACTTCCCGGCGTGCCCCGCGGCCAGCTTTTCCGCCCTCCCTTTCCCGTCCTCCGCCCCGCGCAGCGATCGGTGCAGAAGGGGGACGGATAGTCGTTCGGGGAAGGGACTGGGTGGAGTCTCGCGAGGTGCGGGAACTGGCTGGGGACCTGAAGGATTCTGGGAGGCGATGCTGGGAAGGGGCGGTGGCTGGGCTCCCCGGCCACAGTTAACCCCTTCGGCGCTTCTTACCTTAGCACCCACTGGGCCGTTGAGGGTGGAGATGGAGACTGCCAGCTCCCTCTTTGCGCGTCTGCTTGCTTAAGTAGTTCTTACCTACACTTCTCGTAGGTGACGAGAGGCAGGACTTTCCCTTTTGGTCCGCCCTAGATGACTCACTGCCTTATAATAATGAGACAAAAAGACACTCATACCGATAAAACGGTTATTCCACAACTGACGGACTTAGACGGTTCCTGGTTTCCTCCTCTACTTTCATGCTGCTATGTACTTGCAAAGCCTGCGCCTACAGCCTAGACCGTTCTTACCACTTGGTGAACTTGGTGATATCATGATGGGTATTGTAAAGAACTTGGACTTTGGGGCTGTACTGACCAGAATGCACCATTGTAGTGTGTATCTTTACAGACAGTCCCCTGGAGAGAGCTCAAGCCCTGGACCCAAATAGACCTAAACTGGAATCCTCGCTGAATCACTCCCGGCTGTTGGCTCAGCCTCTCTGAGCCTCAGTTTTCTGGTCTAAGTCAGTATCTCACAGCACTATTGGAATTAAAATTAACATAAAACAGCTGGCAGAAGAGGTGTTTTATGTTTGGAAGATGATGTGAAGGAAGACCTTGACGTTATTAGGTCGATAGAATTTGGCTCGTGGCATAGAGCAAATGGTAGCTGTTATTACCAACTGAGAGACAATGAGCAAATGTACTTTGAGGCCTCTTTGAGCCTTAGTTACAGAGAGTTAAATGATGTGATGTTCAGAGCACCCAGCACATAGAAGTTTTTTTGTACCTATTTGTTGAATCAATGTCCAGAAACATTTCTAGAATCAGTCCTGAACGAGATTAATGACTGGCTCTTAAAAACTGTGAAGGCAGGGTCAGTGGCCACATTTGAAAGTTTTCCTGGGTGTGGAAACACACCCTCCACTCCCTGGTGTTAGCACATAGGAGAAAGCCAGTGCTGAGAGACCATTACTGTGCAGCCAGACCCCTAAGGCCAAGGGGTTCAGGCCACACAGAAGACTCTCAAGTTCAGTAAGCAAAACCCTGCAAAGTAAAAAGACTGCAAAGGTGAAATAAGACATGTTTTTAAATCTTCTGTCCTAGCAGTACCCAAAGAAAGAGAAGATAGAACAACCCTACCTCCAAAAATTGTTTGACTTGATTTCTTAGAGGTTTTTTAACTTTTTTTTTTTTTTTTGAGACAGAGTCTCACTTTGTTGTCCAGGCTAGAGTGAGTGCCGTGGCGTCAGCCTAGCTCACAGCAACCTCAATCTCCTGGGCTCAAGCGATCCTACTGCCTCAGCCTCCCGAGTAGCTGGGACTACAGGCATGTGCCACCATGCCCGGCTAATTTTTTTATATATATATATCAGTTGGCCAATTAATTTCTTTCTATTTATAGTAGAGATGGGGTCTTGCTCTTGCTCAGGCTGGTTTTGAACTCCTGACCTCGAGCAATCTGCCCGCCTCAGCCTCCCAGAGAGCTAGGATTACAGGTGTGAGCCACCGCGCCCGGCTTAACTTTTTTTTTAATATGTAGCTGACACAGTAAATTTTGACAAGTCATTTGGCTTTCTTCAAATTTTTTTTTGAGTAGCTTCACTCCCCTCTGACCTACAAGGAATACCTAGAAAACATTCATTCTAAAATTTCCATATTATTATACATAGTACAGGCACTGTGGTAGGCAGAATAATGTCCTCCTCCCTCATCCACAACGGTCCATGCCCTAGTCCTTGGAACCTGTGAATATGTTACATTCCATGGCAAAAGGGACTTTGCAAATTGGAAACAAGGACCTTAAAATAAGAAGAGTATCTGGGTGGGCCCAGTGTAATCACATGGACACTTAAAAGCAGAAGAGGAAGGCAGAAGAGATGTTTAGGAGAGAGATGAGGCAGAAGAAGAATTAGATGGCCAAAAGCCACCAAATGTAGGCAGCCTCTAAAAGCAGAGAACAAGCCCTGCTAACAGCCAGCAAGTAAACGAGGACCTCAGTCCTACAACCTCATGAAACTGAATTCTGACAATCTAATCTGAATGAGCTTGGAAACAGATTACCCCCCAGAGTCTCCAGAAAGGAATATGGGCACCTCGATTTCAGCTTTGTTAGACTTGACGCAGAGAACCAACTAAGCTAGAGTCCAGACATCTGGCCCACAGGAAATGTGAAATGTGTTGTTTTAAGCCACTAAATCTGTGGTGATTTCTTATAGCAACAAAAGAAAGCTAATACAGGTACTGTAGAAATGCCCTTATTTCTTTCAGCAAACACTACCTGATTCTCAGTTGAGTCAAACCATGGGGCAATCCAGATGTGAATATTTCAAGGTCTTTGCCCTTGCAGAATCAAACAGAAATTAATGATAACATTATAGTTAAGTGTGAAAGAGAGTATTTTCAGAAGATTGCAGATATGTGTTGGAAAGTTGGCTTTAATCATTAAACCTTAAGGAGATGTGATTTTTTAAAATAAGACTCATGAGTTTATTTTCTTGGCGTGTGTTTTTCTGTTTTTATCACAGTGCTTTTTTTTAATTTTTTAATTTTTTTAAATTTTTTCTTATCTCCATATTGCTTTCCACTATCACAGTGCTTTTATTACAGATTATCTTTGGAAGTCAATACAGGTGCCATGGAGTAATGTAAGATAAACAGGACTGATAGTCAACCCTGCCCGGTTTGAGGATGAGTCACTGTTTTCAAACTGCACAGTTTTAAGCAAAGCACACATTCGGGAATTCCCAAAAGGACATGTATACCACCTGAACCTCACTATGAGGTAATGTACTACCACTGGCTCTGCACTTCAGCAGGCCTGGGTTTGAATCTCTTTGCAGTCTTTTCTCTAGCTCTGTGGCCTTGGGCAAGTTATGAAACCTCTCATTGACTTGGTGCCATCATTTGGACACAAGGTACATAGCAAATTCAAAGGTGGAACTGGGATTAAATGGGATCTTTGTAAATCACCTAGCACACAGTAGACACTCACTAAAGGCCAGCTCCCTTTGCCACTGAGAAGTTTCAGTGTTTAATGTAAAAAGTGCCTCGTTTTTATACTCCAGTGAACCAAGCCTTAGAACAGCGTTTGCACTTCTAATGAATATTCTCTCTCAATAACTCTATCCCCATTTCCAAATGAAGTGGAGGTTCTGAGAGGTCAAATTACCTCACCACACACACATCCCACATGATTAAATGAGATCATATTTGCTACATAAACTTCCAATATAGCAGTTGATCAATAAATGTGTAGCTCTCCTGGTCCTTCCCACATTTATTTCTTTGTTTGACTTTTGGTTTAGTGATTGTGCTCATGCTAGGATCTCTTTGGGTTCATCATCATATCCCTGACATCTGGCACAGTCTTGGCACATGGTAGGCTCCCAGTCTGTTGAATGAATGACCCTATCTCAATAATTTCTTTTTTTTTTTTTTTTTTTTTGAGACAGAGTCTTGCTTTGTTGCCTAGGCTAGAGTGAGTGCCGTGGCGTCAGCCTAGCTCACAGCAACCTCAAACTCCTGGGCTCAAGCAATCCTTCTGTCTCAGCCTCCCAAGTAGCTAGGACTACAGGCATGAGCCACCATGCCCGGCTAATTTTTTCTATATATATTAGTTGGCCAATTAGTTTCTTTCTATTTATAGTAGAGACGGGGTCTCGCTCTTGCTCAGGCTGGTTTCGAACTCCCGACCTCGAGCGATCCGCCCGCCTCGGCCTCCCAGAGAGCTAGGATTACAGGCGTGAGCCACCGCGCCCGGCTCAATAATTTCTTTATTGAAGAAAATCTCTGAGGACTATTTTCCTATAGAATGAGCCCTAGACAGTACTTGGAACCTGGTCAGGCAGAATCAGGAAAGAATAAGGATTTCACACAAACACATCTATGCAAGGTATAAAGATGCTCAGAAATAGAGACTTCATGACTTCATGATTGTCTATTGTTGTCAGGTCACAGAATCTGGCCATACAATGAGAGGCCCTAACTCACAGCTCACCTGCCATTCATCATTTAAATCCTGCTGTTTCTCACTCTCCCAGGAGGCTGGGAAAAGTGCTTAAACTACCAAAATGAAAATAATGGTAACTGCTGGCTTATAAAACTATGGGTAATTTTGGGTTTATTTTCCTACAAAGTATTACATTTTTTTAATTAAAAAAATTCGTGGCTGGGCACGGTGGCTCATGCCTATAATCCTAGCACTCTGGGAGGCCGAGGTGAGAAGATCATTTGAGCTCAGGAGTTCAAGCTGAGCAAGAGCTCAACCTCGGACCAGCCTGAGCAAGAGCAAGACCCCGTCTCTACTAAAAATAGAAAGAAATTGGCTGGACAACTAAAAATATATAGAAAAAAATTAGCCAGGCATGATGGTGCATGTCTGTAGTCCCAGCTACTTGGGAGACTGAGGCAGGAGGATGGCTTGAGCCCAGGAGTTTGAGGTTGCTGTGAGCTAGGCTAATGCCACAGCATTCTAGCCCGGGCAACAGAGTGAGACTCTGTCTCAAAAAAATATATATTATTTTTCATTTTAACCACAAAACACAGAACATTTAAATTAAAATGACAGATATGGGTATCATTTTTTTCTTCTTTATACTTGTCTGTATTTTCCAAATCTAGAATGAGTATGTGCTACTTTAATGATGAAAAAATAAAACTTTCAATGCAATATAGCTCAACAATGTGAGAACATCTTTCTCTCTCTTTATTTGGAGACAAGGTCTTGCTCTGTTGCCTGGGTTAGAGTTTAGTGGCATCATCACAGCTCACTCACTGCAACCTCAAACTCCTGGCTCAAGGGATCCTCCTGCCTCAGCCTCCCGAGCAGCTGGGTATGCCTGGCTATTTTTTCTGTTTTTTGTAGACACAAGCCTTGCTCTTGCTCAGGCTGGTCTCCTGAACTCCTGAGTTCAAGTGATCCTCCCACATCCGCCTCCCAGAATGCTAGGGTCACAGGCATGAGCCATGCTCAGCCTTAGAGCATCTTTAATAATAAAGTGTTCCTTTCGTTTTGCTTAAAAATATTTGTGGGACCCCCTAGAATGGCCTCAAAGGATGACCTACGCTAGTTTTTACCAAAATTGTGGAACATGGCAGCTCCCTGTCTGATTCTTTAAGGTTTTCAAGTGGAGATTTCAGTACCTCACTAAGGTGCCCATCCCATTTTTAATCTCACTTAACTACAGAGAGATGTACTCAAATCTACCATAAATCCTTCTGGCCTCAATTTAAGCCATTTCCTTTATTCTTTTCTCTGCGAAGAAGGAAAAAAATCTTTAAAGTGCATTTTAAAACTAAAATGCTATAGCCCAAGTGCCCATCAATCCAAGAATGGATTAATAAAATGTGGTATATGTATACCATGGAGTACTATTCAGCTCTAAGAAACAATGGTGATATAGCACATCTTATATTTTCCCAGTTAGAGCTGGAACCCATACTACTAAGAGAAGTATCCCAAGAATGGAAAAAACAAGCACCACATATACTCACCAGCAAACTGGTATTAACTGAGCAGCACCTAAGTGGACACATAGGTACTATAGTAATAGGGTATTGGGCAGGGGGGAGGAGGGCGGGTGTATACATACATAATGAGTGAGATGTGCACCATCTGGGAGATGGTCATGCTGGAAACTCAGACTTGTGGGGGGAGGGGGGAAAGGGCATTTATTGAAACCTTAAAATCTGTACCCCCATAATATGCTGAAATAAAAAAAAAAAACTAAAATGCTAAGAGGGTGGTGCTGGTGATGAGACTGGCAAATGGGGTTGTTTTCAGTGTTTTATTAATATAAGAAAAACATTAACTTACACCCCATCCCAAATGGCTTTTCTTTACTTCTCTACAAAAGTGCATGGTAAAAGTGGAGGGGGATTTTCTTCCTCTTCTTCTCTAATGATTCTAATGTCTAGATGTGAAGTTGAGGGCTTATTTAAATGGCTTTTCAACTCTTGAATATCAAAACCACCATGTGAGGTTAGTGAGAAAACTGGGGCCAGTAAAAGAAGGAGCTTTCCCAAGATCTCATAATTAGTTGTTGCTGGAACAACATTTAAACCCCAACCCCTCATTCTAAATTTTTTCTAAGGTTCTGTGGTAGCCTCCAAAATGGTCCCCAAGGACTCCACCACCTGACATTCAACATTTTGAACAGGGCTGAGCTATGTAAGCAATAGGATATTGTGGAAATGACCACGTGTTTTCTTCTGGGACTAGGTCAGAAAAAACGTTGCAGCTCTGCCTTGTTCTCTTGGATCTCATGCTCTGGGGGAAGACAGCCCCCATGTCATGAGGACACTCCAGCAGCCTTCTGGAGTGTCCACATGACAGTAGCCCCATACAAGCTTTCAAATGACTTCGGCCTTGGCCAACATCTTGGCTGCAACCTCATGAAAGACCCAGAGCCAGAATCACTCAAATAAGCTGGATTCCAGACCCACAGAAACTGTGTGAGATAATAAATGTTAAAAAGTCACTGAGTTTTGAGCTAATTTGTTAAATAGCAATTGATAACTAACAAAGGCAAAACGCCTCCCCTTCTGGGTGGTTCTTACCATTTGTGAAATCTGTTAAAAAGCTATGGACTGGGCCAGGCGCGGTGGCTCACGTCTGTAATCCTAGCACTTTGGGAGGCCGAGGTGGGTGGATCGCTCAAGGTCAGGAGTTTGAAACCAGCCTGAGCAAGAGTGAGACCCCGTCTCTACTAAAACTAGAAAGAAATTAATTGGCCAACTAAAAATATATACCAAAAAAAACTTAGCTGGGCATGGTGGCACATGCCTGTAGTCCCAGCTACTCAGGAGGCTGAGGCAGAAGGATTGTTTGAATCCAGGAGTTCGAGGTTGCTGTGAGCTAGGCTAATGCCATGGCACTCTAGCCCAGGCAACAGAGTGAGACTCTGTCTCAAAAAAAAAAGAAGCTATGGACTCTCCAGAAAACTTTTACTTATACAAAATTCTGTATAATGCTCCAGGGTGTTACCAGCTCCTCTGAAGCCACTTCACTGTAAAAGTAGTAAGAAAGTTGTAGTACTTCCTTTTTTTCTAAGGCCCAGAAAAATGAAAACACTTGTCCCAGTTTATGGAGCTAATATATGCCAGGGCCAGGATTTAAACCCAACTCACCCACCTCTGCACATACACTGCCGCCTTATTATTCTGGCTTCCTGAAGTCCTAGGTTCAGAGCCACTGCTCTAAACTAAGTAATCCTTACCTCTTCATCTTCCTTCTGCATTCTACCCCTTTAATCTTATAGGTCACATTTCTCTGGCTCCATTTTAATTGCAAATCGTAAGTGACCCATTGTGTATTAGGACCCATCAAAGACACAAAGACAAGGTCCCTGACTCTGAGGATCCCTAGTCGAATGGGATCTTAGAGACGAAAACAAGTAAGTGTACCCAATTTTAAAACCTATACTCTTAGGTCCTTTTGGACAAGGAAGCAGCATCAAACTCTGAAAGGGAAGACTTTACAGAGAAGGTGATACTTTAGCTGGGCCTTGAAAGCTAGAAGGAAAGAGGGTTGGCTTGGGTGGAGCAGCAGTGAGTGTGATGGTGGGCAGCCTCACTGTGTGTGTTCAAGTGTGTTCACGTGGGGAGGGGCCAGCAGTCCAGCGAGGTAGGCACAGGAGACAAAGCCAGAAAAATGGGCTTGGTAGACCCCAAGCGCAGGTAGATTCCAAGTTAACAGAGCTCTGATTTGAACTCAGATACTGGCTCTTACCCACCCCTGTGGCCACCACTGTGGCCCCAGAGCCAACCACATAGGCCCTGACCCAGAGCAGGTGTTCATCAATGTTTGCTGAATGGACTCATTCAAGCAGGACTGGGAGCTGTGGCTGGTTTGCAGTAGGGAAGAGAAAGCAAGATAGGGTTTCAGGGTTACCCTTCATGCCTCCTTGAATGTCATTTTTCAGCAAGGTTTTCCCTGATGCCCTACACTCATTAAGCCCTCCACACTCCCACAGCACCCAATGCTTCCTTCAAGATATAATGAGGAAAAATATAATTCGCTCTTGACATTAATGATGACTTCAATGTCTGCTCCAAACTAGACTGTCAGCCAGATGATGTCAGGAACTGCTGGCTTATTCACTGCCCTGCCCTCCATCCTAGAGGAGGAATGCCTCTATCCTAGAAAACAACAGGAGTACAGCATGGGGCACCTTCTTCCATTGGCACTGATGACCTCCTACTAGGATGTGAGCCTGTGCTGAGCCCTAGGCACTCACAGCCTAATTAGACACAGTCCCTGCATTACATGGATGGATAACAAGTGATGGCTCATGTAGTAATACCCTAGCAGACAGAAGTCTGGGGTGCTATTAAAGCTGAGAGAAGGGATGATATCTCAAAGCTAACACTAGGTAGAGGAGAAATTATTTCCCAGCTCAGCAATTATAGTTACTTTGGGTACAAAATAAACATTTAAAAGTAAATAATTTTCTTATGTACTAATAATAATCCCATTGGGGCCGGGCGCTGTGGCTCATGCCTGTAATCCTAGCTCTTGGGAGGCCAAGGCGGGCGGATTGCTCAAGGTCAGGAGTTCAAAACCAGCCTGAGCAAGAGCGAGACCCCGTCTCTACTATAAAATAGAAATAAATTAATTGGCCAACTGATATATATATAAAAAAAATTAGCCGGGCATGGTGGCGCATGCCTGTAGTCCCAGCTACTCGGGAGGCTGAGGCAGAAGGATCACTCGAGCCCAGGAGTTTGAGGTTGCTGTGAGCGAGGCTGACGCCACGGCACTCACTCTAGCCTGGGCAACAAAGCGAGACTCTGTCTCAAAAAAAAAAAAATAAAAAAAATAATCCCATTGGAAAATGATGGGAGCAAAGGATTCTATTCACAAGAGCAACAAAAAAATGACACCATCTGAAAATAAAGTTAATATACAATGTGCAGGTCTTAAATGAATAAAACTATAAAACTCTACCGAGAAGCATAAAATCTTGGACCAATGGTCACCAGAGCTTGCCTTAGACTGGAAGACTCTACAGCATGTGGATATTAATTATCCCAAAATTAGCCCATCAAGTAAAATTATCCCAGTGAAGATCCCAGTGAGATTTTACTGGCAAAATGATCCTAAAATTCAACTGGAAAAATAGATGTATCATTTTCATAATAAAAAGACCTAACATTTACTAACCACTTACCATGTGCCAGGCCCCATCCCAGGGACTTGCTATATATTATCTCATCTCATCTTCACAAAAACACCAGGAAGTGGATACTGGTATTATTAACATTATGCAGATGAGGAGGCAGAGGTTCAGAGAGAAAAAAATAACTTGTTCAAGGTCACACAGCTAGTAACTGGCTGACATGAGATTAAAGCTCCAGGCTGGCTGACCTCAAGCTCCATGAATTTAACCACTCTGCTCTACTGCCAAGAAAAGTTTGAAGAAGATTAATGACCTGGGACTTATTCTACCAGATATTAAAATGTATTAGGTAGGCCAGGCATGGTGGCTCACACCTGTAATCCTAGCACTCTGGGAGGCTGAGGCGGGAGGACTGCTTGAGGTCAGGAGTTCAAAATCAGCCTGTGCAAGAGCGAGACCCCCGTCTCTACTATAAATAGAAAGAAATTAATTGGCTAACTAATATATAGAGAAAAAAAAATTAGCCGGGTATGGTGGGGCATGCCTGTAGTCCCAGCGAATCAGGAGGCTGAGGCAGTAGGATCGCTTGAACCCAGGAGTTTGAGGTTGCTGTGAGCTAAGCTACGCCACAGCACTGTACCCCTGCCAACAGAGTGAGACTGTGTCTCAAAAAGAAAAGGAAGAAAAAAGTGAATATTTTTACAATCCTGGAACTTGATGTTTTTCTAAGCATGACATGAAAGTTAAAAGAAAATCCATCAAGTAAATCAATAGATTTGACTACATAAAATTAAAATTTTTTACGTGGCAACAATAGACCACATACAAAGTTAAGGACAAATAATATAGTTGGGGGAAATATTTGTCGCATATATGACCAAGAGTTAAGATTCCCAATAAACAAAGAGTTCTTAAGGGTTAATATGAAACACCTCAATAGGAAAATGGTCAAACAAGAATGGTCTAAATCGGCTATTAACAAAAGAAGAAACACAGATGGAAACAAATATTACATTTGAAAAGATTTTCCACCTCATTAGTAATCTTGGAACCACAGATAAAAAAAATTGAGGCCGGGTGCGGTGGCTCATGCCTGTAATCCTAGCTCTCTGGGAGGCCGAGGCGGGCGGATTGCTCGAGGTCAGGAGTTCGAAACCAGCCTGAGCAAGAGCGAGACCCCGTCTCTACTATAAAATAGAAAGAAATTAATTGGCCAACTAATATATATACAAAAAATTAGCCGGGCATGGTGGCGAATGCCTGTAGTCCCAGCTACTCGGGAGGCTGAGGCAGGAGGATTGCTTGAGCCAGGAGTTTGAGGTTGCTATGAGCTAGGCTGACGCCATGGCACTCACTCTAGCCTGGGCAACAAAGCGAGACTCTGTCTCAAAAAAAAAAAAAAAAAAAAAAAAAAATTGAGATATCATTTCTCAGTAGATCAGATTGGCAAAGGTTAGAAAAATTGGCAGAATTCAGTTTTAGCAAGAATATAGGGAAAGGGGCACAACTTTTAATGGGAATGCAAATTAATGAGAATGCAAATTCATACAGTTGTTTTAGGAGGCAGTTTAGCAACATGTAACAGAAATCACACTTGCTCTGAGTATGTCAGGATTTGAATACAGGTCTGGCTGACATAAGAAAATTTTAAGGGGAAAACCTTTTTATCTAGTAATTAAATTACAGTGATTTATCCCAGAGGGAAATTAAATAAGTAAACAATGATCTTTGTCCAAGGTTGCTTAAGATAGCATTGTATAAAATGGTAAAAATCTAGAAATGACTTCAATGACCATCAATAGTGCTAAATTCTGATATAATATAAAAGGCAGCCATAAAAATAATAATATAAATTTATAGTTATCAACTGGATATATGTTCATAGTATATTAGTGAGTGAAAAAGGACAGGTAAGTACTATGAACCTACATATATTATGAAGGTCAAACTAAAAGAGTTGTACACAGAGATCTCTAAAAGATTATCATCAGCTCTGGGTGTTGGAATTTCCAGTGATTTATAATTACTTCTTTAAATGTTCCTGTATCATTTGGATTTTTTATCATCAGAATATATAATTTTTATAACCAGAAAATTCAATAAAGTTCACTGCATTTTGATTTTTTTTTTTTTTTTTTTTGGTACAGACAGGTTTTTGCTACATCACTCCAGCCCAGGCTGGAGTACAGTGGCTATCCACAGGCATGATCATAGCACACTGCAACCTGAAACTCCTGGGTTTAAGGGATCTTCCTGCCTCAACTTCCCAAGTACCTGGGATTAAGGGCATGTGCCACCATACCTGGCTTGATTTAAAAATAGCACTTACCTACTATACAGCCTAGAAACTATATTATCACATTTATTCCTTACCTCAACCCTCTAAGGGAGGTATTATTCATTCATTTTACAGGTGAGACGACAACTCGAAGCTCAGAAAGGTTAAGCAACTTGCTCTGGATGTATCAGGATTTGAATATAGGCCTGGCGAACACAAGAGCTCTTTCCATAATGCTGCACTACTTAATAATAAATATTGCTATAAATATTTAACAATATATGCCTTTTATTGTGTGCCTGATAAGTGCTAGGCACTTGGTGGATATTTCTTTCGTCCTTTTAGCAACTCTGCAGGGTCAGTATTTACCTTCCCACAGAGATGCAATAGTTTGCTGTGGGTAGTAAGTGCTAAGCCAGGTTTATCCAGCTCCAAAACCTCCCTGCTCCCGTTTTGCCACATTTCCTGCTGATCTAGTAGCATTCTCTCTTCACCTGGAGATATTATTTGCCCTGAGGTCTTTGCTCCTCTACATGTCCTTACATCTCCATTTTGTACCTCTTGGGTTTGACTGCAGTGCTTAATATAGATTATGCTTTTGGCCATAATGCAGATGTTTTCTTTTACTATGTAGTACTTAAACAAGAATGTTGTGAAGTCTTAGTTTATCTGCCAACTTTATTGCCCGGCTCAGAAGCCTTCAAGGTCTCCTGGGCAGAATAAACCCAACCTTCACAGTCTAGCTCTCATGTGCCTGGTCACGAGGCTCCCAGAATGCCGAGGCTTCCTCTGTGCACACTCCTGACCACACTTCTCCTGGGTTTTGCAGCTCAGCAGCCCCTGCACCCAGCAGAACATATCACCCAAAGTGGCATTCAATAAATGTGTCTGAAGAGAGGTAAAAAGAAAGCTCTATACCATGAGAGACAAAGACCTCACCCAGGCAACAGGAAGGAGGCCTTGGAGACTGAGTGAAATTTAATTGAGTAGATGAGGTGAGGCTTCAGGGAAGGCAACATGCTCGTGGCACCATCACCTTTAGCCTTACCTATCTGCTGGGCTAGCCACCTGCACAAAATGCTTTCACATAATAATCCTAATTGTTACCACTTACAGAGAGCATGTGGTGACATGCCAGGCGCTAGGTGCTTTACAGATTGCTTTCCTATTTATGTATTTATTTATTATGATTATTATTTACTTTGTGTCTCTCTCCACTAGCTCCACACAAGCTCCAGGGGGGCAGATTTTGTCTGTTGTGTTCAAAACAGTGCTTAGCACACAGTAAGTACTAAATAGTGACTGAATTCTCCACAAAGCCCCCTGAAGGATGATTTTTAACCCCTACTTTACAGATGAGCAATTTGATGCTTAGAGTGGCAAGTGACTTTTGCAAAGGTATAGATCCAACAAAAGGCATAGCCAAGACTAAAAATAGATCAGGATTCTCTCTCTCCATTACCCTTGCAACTGTCTGGATGCAGAAATGTCCACTCCTGGCCTTGAAGTTGGGAAGCACCACCAGTCTGCAGGACTCCGTAGTTGACTAATAATGCTAACACAATACCAATTAACATTCACTGTGCACTTGCTACATACCAAGCAGTGTTCCCAGTGTTTCACGTTTTGACTCACCACAGGAATGACAGTCATGCACTGCATAATGACATTTCAGTCAACGAAGGACAGCATATACAATGGTGATCCCATAAGATTACAGTGGCATATATAGAAACCTGATAAATGGCACCTGGTATTGGCACTGTAGATCAAGTAGAGGAAATTATTGATATTCAGTAATGGTGCTGGGACATGTGGTTTCCCATATGAAAAATATATATACCTTCTAGGTTTGTGTAAGTACACTCTATGATGTTCACACAATGACAAACTCGCCTAATGATGCATTTCTCAGAAAGTATCCTCGTGGTTAAGCGATGCATGACTATACTTGCTATGATCGGTTTTTGACAGTTGAAGAACCTGAGGCCCCAGGGAGGTTTAAAAATGTTGACAAAATCACAGAGCTAGGAAATTCACAATCCAGCCATCTGGGTCCAGCACCCACTCTTCGCCACTGCCCATGCTGCCTCAGTGACATGCTGTCATAGCTGTCCTTTTCTAGGATGGCAAACCAAGGGTCAGGACAGTGCGCAAAGGCAGGGCCATTCTGCTTGGCCTGTTAGACAAGCTCTCGTTTCCTGTGATCTTTTTAAGCTTCATAGTCACCCTATGAAGTCACATATGAGGAAATGGGTTCAGAGACCCTATAAGGGCCAGAAGTAGACAGATGAGACAGAAAGTAGATTAGTGGTTGCCTAGGGCCGCAGGGTTGAGAGAAAATGACGAGTGACTGCTAATGGGTACTTTTAGGGATGATGAAAATGAAAGTGTTTTAAAAATGATGATGATTGCACAACTGTGAATATACTAAAAAAACCCACTGAATTGTACACTTTAAATGGGTGAATTACGTGGTAAATGAATTACAGTCATGCTCCACATAAGGACATTTTGGTCAATGACAGATCACATGTATGATGGTGGTCCCATACATTATAATACTGTATTTTTACTGTACCTTTTCAAAGTTTGGATATGTCTAGATACACAAATAGCATTGTGTTACAGTTGCCTACAGTATTCGGTACAGTAATGTGCTGTCCAGGTTTGTAGCCTAAGAACACCCAGTACCATACAGACTAGATTGTCATAGGCTGCATCGTCTAGGTTTGTATCACTCTACGATGTTGGCACAATGACGAAGTCCATAACGACACATTTCTTAGAACATCTCCTCCATTGTTAAGTGATGTATGACTATATGTCTTAATAAAACTGTGCTGGGTTTTGTGGTTGTTTTGTTTTCTAAAAAGGGGGGCCACATGGAATGAAGTGGCAGAGGTGGCATTTCAATAAGCTTCAGATCAAAAACCTTGGGACCATCGTCACCTCCTCTTTCCCTTTCATGTCTCACATCTGATTATCAGCAGACAAAATGTATCTGAGGCATGTTCCCGCTTCTCTGACCCCACAGCCTGGGCCCCACCACCCTCTCATCTGAACTAATGCACCCCTCCTAAGTGGTCTCCTTGCTGCCCCCTTGTTCCCTGTGGTCTGTTCTCTGCAGAGCAGCCAGAGCAATCCTTTGAAAGCATTTCTGTCGGATCATTTCCCTCTTCGGCTCAGAAATGTCCAATGGCCCCCAAATAAAATTCCCTTACAATTCACATTTGGCCCTGTCCACCTTCCCAACCTATTGCCCACTAGCCACACTTCCTCCTTTGCTACCCTCAAATATACTCCCACCCCCAGGCCTCTGCACTGTGGCTCCTTTTCCCGTAATGCTCAGGCTCCAGGTACCAGACACACAGCTTGCTCTCAAATTTCACTCAGGTGTCTGCTTAAATGTACATGTCACTGTCTAGAGATGCCTTCCCTGACCTCCAGTCATGTCTTGAGACCCCCTCACCCGCTCATTACTCTCTAACCCCTGACCTGCAGGTTTTTAAATAACTTCAGAACACTTGTGACCACCTGGCACAGTACATGCATCTCTGTTAGCCATCTGTCTCCACCACTAGAATGTGACATCCCTTAGGGAATCCTGTATCCCTAGGACCTAGAATAATGCCCAGTACTTAGTAGATGCTCAAAAAATGAATAAATGAATCTGAAGCCAAAGGCTGGCTCCTCACTGCCCCTGGGCTAATTTAACAAAGAAGCTGATCACTATCTTTAACATGCCCCTTACCAAAATCTGTGCCCCACTCCGTGCCCTATCTGTGCCACTGCTCACCTTGAATTCCTACCAGATCGGGAACTCTGGAAGGGCAGGGTCCACCAGCTGTAACCCATGACACAGTCTTGAAAGGCATATATGTAAATCTTTTATCGATGGAATAGGAAGATAAATTTTAACCAATGGGAGAAGTTTAATTTCTCAGCTCCCAAACAGAGCAAAAGGGCCACCTTTAAGCCCAGTACTCTGAAAAATGCCTGGGCCCCATTCCTGGGGAACTTAAGACCTTAAAGTCAAGCTCAAGTGAGCCTTGGAATTCCTTAGGGAGTGAGCTGAGCCAGGGTAAGCTCCCCGTAGAATGGAATTTGCCAACTAAGCCCAGAAAACCATGTGAACAAGCAAACTTGAAGCAAGCACGGTAGTGAAGTGGCTTTCTGTTATCTCAAAGAGAAATAACAGCATGCCAGGCTGGCTTAAGGAGAAAATGATCCTGTAAATAGGGCTGGGCTTCCTTCCCCAACACTCCCTCACACACACACACACACAAGCCTTCAAGCCCTCTCCCCTTATCTACAGGGAGATACAGCCACAGAGCCCAGACTTCCCAGCCCTGTCCTCCATTCTACACTCTGTCCCTCCAGGCCTCTCAGCTTCCCCAACCTCCAGGAACTCTCCAGGCGCTTGTTCATGCTGTTCCCTTTGGAATGCTCTTCCCTCCTTCCCAAGTGGGTGGAACCCTACTCATTCTTTGTTGCCTCCTTTGCAAAGCCTTCCTCTCCCTCCCCTGACATATCACTCCTTCCTCTGACAGGTAACACTTTGAGCTGTAGGTGTCAGCACCTATCCAGCCATCCATCTCATCTCAGTGACAACCTCAGAGAAGACAACAGAACATGCGCGTCCCCAGGCAGGGAACTTACTTCTAGTTGCGGTACCAAAGCAAAGAACTACATAATTGCAAATTAGGAAGAGGGCTAAAAGGAAACAAGGTACGCTGAGAGACACCATATAGCCAGGTGGAGATGGGGGAGAAAATCAGAGCAGATGGCTAGGGAAGGCTTCTCTGAGGAGGTGACATTAAACTGGTTCCTGATGGATGGGAAGGAGCTAGCCAAGCAAAGAATGGGGAGGAAATTTTTTCATACAGAGGGCACAGCAGTGTGAAGGTATGAAGGTGCTGGGCAGGAAAGCACAGGGCATAACCCAGGAACCAAATGGTGGCTTTTGTGGCCCCAGCCTCGGAGGGCTGGGAGGGCAGTGTGAGGGGAGGCAGACCTTCTCATAGGCACCAAGTGCTCAGATTTGCTGCCCTGTGTTTCTGCCTCCTCTGTCCTCAGAAAGGCCATAGCACATTTTATTTTTCCCCCTGCCTCCAGGGCAGAGCAAGACACCTGGTGCACAACAGGCATTCAACAAGTGTTTGTGGGCTGCACTGTCCCCAGAGATGCAGTGAGCGACCCCTCCCTTGCCCTTGCCCATACCTTAACAGCAAGTCCCCAGTTAGCTCCCCTAACTGAAGCACCCAGGGACCGGTTAACCACAAGACTAGTGATAGCAACCGAGGATGAAATGGGAGCAGCTGCAAGAGCTACAGTTCTGTCCTTGACAAATGCCACTGACAACCCAGTTGGCAGATGTGACCACCACATGGTCCTTGGAGACCGGATTCTAGGGGTAAACTTCAATCAGATGGCAACTCAAGTATAGCAGGGCCTGCCAAAATTACAAGCCCTAAGACTTAAATTATCAGTCTAAAGTTCCAAATACCATTTCCAAGATTCAATAGTTCCTTGATTTTTTAAAAAAATTAATTCAAAAGATGAAAACACGACTGAGTTGGCAGGAACATCCAAGTTGCCCAGGTGCCCTGCCCTGTATCTCCCCTGATGAATTAGCCTCTGGTCCAACCCAGAATTCTATCATTTTCAAGAACACAGTCACAATTCTTCAAATCACACTTTGAACTCTTGTTTTCTGGGTAATGTATTCTCAACTATTCTAAAGGACTAATTATTTAGGCTAAGCCAAGCTATGGTTTTTAACTTTTTGGAAGGGAGGGGAAGAGACATTACATATAGTTTAAGAGCATCTTATGAAGGAGGCAATTACAAAACTTGTGCCTGCGTCACACAGGCCACCATCTTGTGCCCTTTAAATTTCTTTTTGGTATCTTTAAAGGCCTATACTGTAATTTTTTCTATAGTAGTTCTCTATGCTTCCCTCTAGTGAGGGTAAAAAGGGACTGCAGATGCCTTCTTGGGAAATTCCACTTCTGCAAGGCCTTCACAAATGCTGTTCCCCATCCCTTCACAACTGCCCTTCCCTCCCCTCTTACCCAGTTAGCTCATCCTTTAGATCTCACTTTAAATGCCAGTTCTTCAAAAAGCCCTTGCCTTCTTTACTCACCCCTTCTACTTTAGGCTTCCGCTATTCTCTTATATCAGTTCACAGTATTTGTCACAATTCATAATTAACATTTACCCCTCCTCCTTCCTCATAAAAGTACAAGCTCCACGTGGGCAGGAACCATGTTGGTGCTACATCTGCACATCTAGTGCCTAGAACAGCACATAGTAAGTACTCAGTATGTATTTTTTAAATAGTTAGTGGCTTTCCTTCAGATTTTTTCTGAAGATGGTATGCCCAACACTGATTTCCAGTTTCTTGGGATACAAATTGTTCCTGGTTATCTTGTAAACATGAGGCCGTATCACAGCAATAACAACAACATTTTAAAATGTCTGCTCTAGTCCACATATTGCATTAGTTGCTTTAAATGTATGGCTAATCCTCGCAATGGCCCTGCAAGGTGGGGACAATCACCCTATTTTACAGACAGGGACCTTAATGTTCAGAGAGGTAAATTAAATTCCTCATAGTCAAATAATAGCTTATAAGCAATGCCAACAACAGAATTCAAACCCAGAGTCAAGAGTGCACTCCTTTTACTCAGTCCTGCTCAACTAGGCTGCATAACCCCCAAAGGTACACTCCCGCAGGCCCGGGAGCATGAGCAAACACAAGACAATGTGGGGCCCATTTTTGGTATCTCTCTTTTTCCTGATGGTAAATAATATAAAATATTTTTATGTTAAAAAACACAGATATATTTTAAAGTATAATGTTGAGTAATAAATTCAAAGGAATTTAAAAAACAAAACACAAAAGTTAAAAGAAATTCCATGCCCACTGCCCAGGCCTATCTCAGGAACCTCCATGGAAAAATGTGAAAAGTACTTATTTGTCATTCTTTCTTCATTTTATGTCCTTTTTCCTTGTTGCTATATTTTTTATAATGCCAACATTCCAATTCAGTCTTAATCTCTGCTCCCACCCAATTAAAATGTTTAATGAAAATGGCACTGGCATGTCATTTTCAAAGTCATTTATGAGGACACCTTTTTGTAGGTACAATAAATCTGATTGATTTTTATTACACATCTTAGTTTAGAATCACTTTTACATTCCTAGACAAAGAGATGATACAAATAAATATCAATTGTAAAACTTAGAGCCCCAAGTATTGGCATATTCTTTGTCTAAAGGTAGCCAAAGAGAAGGTCAAGATCAATCGCAACTCCAAGGAGCCATAAAGCCCACCACCTCTTGCCTGCCCCAGGATCACTCCTTTCATAAATAACCTCAAAAGCATTTCATTCAAGAAACGAGGGCAGACATAAAGGTGGCAGATTTGTGAACAATACAAGACAAAGCCTGGCATGATAGACAACAGCCAGGCCCACGATTCTCATCCGGTTCCCTATGAGCAATTTTAGTATGGCTTTTAGAGTATATTAATAGCCCCACTTTCATCCACTGATGGGGTTCAGATGGTCCAAGGTGGTGTTCGCAGTATGCCTTGACCTCGAGTGGGAAATGTTGAGGCAGAACTGACATCCTGTGTTAACAGGGAATCGACACTTCTCAGACACTTGGCAATGGTTCTACATTCAGTGAGGAAGGACTTACAAGAGTCAGACACGAAAAGCAGAGAGCGGCCCATGCCTGAGCTGCAGCTCTCCCGCGCCCTTGGTCATGGAGGTGTGGGTGGAGCAATTCAAGCAGCATGCAGGCTAGGCAGGGAACGATCCAACTTTAGGTCAGAGTCTTAAGAAAGTGCTTCATGCCTATGATTTTGTGGCCTTGGGTTCTCAATCCAGGGGTCTGAGAGACATGTGACTTTAAAATATGAAGCCAGATACATTCAACTGATCAGAGCACACAGGGGTCTCATGAGGGTTGCACACACAGTCTCAAACTCCTTCTCCCAATGGTCATCTTAGATCCTGTTAGACTTGCTTCACTAGCTGCAGCTGGCATGATGGCCCTCAGATGGCTTGGAACATTGTAGCATGACTAGAGACATTAAAAACCTGGTCCCTCAGTGGGCTTGGTAGGTCCTCTACATATTTGGCTCAATTCAGAACCCAAAGCAGCAGCTTTCTGGTGGCAGCAAGACATCCTACCGTCTGTTCTCTTCAAATATTTATCGGATCCATTTTGAGAGAAGAAGAGCACCAGAGACTGCTTGGAAAGTGACAGCTTCATCTCCAACTAGGTGTTCTTTTACTTTGCTTCCGTAGACCACCAGGTGAACACAGCTTCATGCAAGGCAAGTTTGTTTTAATAATCATGCCTGTCAACTTGGCTTTCTTCTTTTGCTTTTGTAGAACAGTTCAATGTGTCACTTTTTGTCAGAAGAGCCACCACGAGACATTAGTGTTAAGGTGTGGTGTTATTTGTAGTTTTCAATTCTCAGATATGCTACATGAATATTTTCAGCCTACAGAATTCAGACTAGCTTTGAGGAAATACGGCGTGAGAGACACATGTAACCAGCAGATAACCGTTGTCTCAGACTACCCACCTCATCGCTTGGTTCCTATTCAAAAGGGCAAATTCTTAGTAAATAAGAATGAGGCAGGGTTTGATCCTGATAAAAGATGAGGGAAGGCTCCAGTATGCTCTGGGAACTGCTGAAAGGGGCCCTGGGTTCAAAAAAAATGGTTACTAAACAGGAGATAAGCTGCCGGACAACAGAAATCCACCGTGCAAAACGCTGCGACATTGCACTTGGTACCTCCTCTTTCCCACAGGTTCTGATCCAGCATTGGGCCCTGGGAACTGAGCAGCTGAGTTAAAATAGAACTCAAGGCCCACCTGAGTCGCCACCTTCCTGAGGCACCGTGCCAGCAAGGTGCGCCAGCGTGGCAGACCTGGGGACTCCTATCATCCCCTCTGGCTTGGCTCATGGACTCAGACACCCACGTGGGAGCACTTCCAGCCTGGATTAGTCATTCAATCGGCCTCTAATACATACAAAAGGCAATAACTGCACATTAGTATATTTCTAAAATTGGGCAAGTTCTTGGTCTCTCTCTCTCTTACAGACACACATGGACACACTTAACAGAACACAAGCACCATTGTGCTCACACACCCACACACACTTAAGAGCTTCTCTTGCGGGGAATATGAGTAACAGTCACCTAATGACCAACATAAAACGAAGCTTCGAATCTCAATAACACAAGGAACTGAAACTTACAAACCAAACTAGTATATGTAAACGGGAATTCGGAACTCTCCTCTGAGCCTATTCAATCACACAGCCACTCCTCACCAGCATCTCAGGCTCCGCATGGACAGAGCCACAGTTCTAGAATTCGGTGTTTTCACCACAGGCAGGCAGGATTCCTTTGCTTCCATCTGTATGTCTTCCCTTCCCACTGCATCGAGTATCACATCTCCATCTCTGTATCTGCCTCGTTATTCTTCTGCTCTTTATGCCAATATGGAACAAAATGGGGAATTCAAAAGTGCCACTATATGTCTCCTTCCTTCAATTCTAGCCCCATCAGAGAAGGCAGAGCCAACCTCGTTTCTCCCACAAAGCAAGTGCACTGCGGAGCACACTCTGGAGGCAGAGGATGGGCCTATGCAAGGACGCTCAGAGTATGCATGCATGGAAAAGATGGTGACAAATGAAGAGTAAAGTGACATGGGGTGTTGTATGGACATGGCACCAGTTTATAGACTTAGGTCTTTAACAGGATGGTCACGGTTTTGAGGTTTTAAAGAAGCTATTTTCCTAAATGCTCCAAGGAGGCAAAGGGAATGTTATTTCTATTGCTTCCAACATTGAATCCCTCAGGAGCAGAGACTGGAGATTTCCTCATTGAGCAGATCCCAAAGGCAGATCCACTTCTCACAGAGGTGCATGGAAGCAAGGGCACTGATGGCACCCACCTAGAGCCTGGGTCCAAATGACATTTCTCATTTCTCCCTACAAGAACAGGCACTTATTCAAGTTCTAGGGCTTTCACTTTTCAACCTCACTGTCATCTTATCTTGAGGTTCCAAAGACCAAGGTGACTCCTGATTCTGCCCTATTGTTCAACAAGAAGGGAGCCCACCATGAAGAACAGGCTAGAAAAGGAGAGGGGAGGACTGGGAAGGGGGGAGGAGAAGAGGGAAAGGGAGAAGGGAAGCAAGGTCACTGGTCATTCTCTTGCTTTCCACTTGGACTATCGCACTTTACCTTACCCATGCATTTCTGAGATGCTAATTAAAAGACGTTTCCCAGAGGGGCTGAGTGCCAGATTAGGACCAGCAAGTTCAATCAGATTGAGTTGGTGAATCTGCAAAGAGGCCATTGCTTCTCCTCAGGGGAATGGTTCTGAGTTTGGGCTCAGGTCCTCTTAGCAGCTTTTTGCTTGTCTCTTCTCTCAGAAGGCAAATGCCGTTCATGCCCTGGGAGAGGAGGAGCTGGCTTTACTTTGGAACCAGCCCCCGAGACTGTGGATAAAGCTGAGATGCAGGGGTTCCTGAGGAAGAAGAGGAGGATCCCGACTTCCTTCCACTTTTAGGCCTGCAAAAGTCAAACACATGTTTACATTTTACCTCCCTGACTTTGTCCCTGACACATCAAGTGCAATTAACACTCCAAGGTGGCCTTTCCTCAGTGGCCTGAAAACCAGGATACTTTCAACTGTAAAACCACTAGGCTGGCACAGCCTGACCGTCTGTGCATGGCTAACATGGCCTTCCAACAGAGGGGTGAAATCTGAGGGAAGGGACTCTATTGCCCAGCAATTGCTCTTCCATTAAAATCAAAGCTAGGCTGTATTCTCCAAATCGATACAACAGTATTAAGTTTGCAGGTAGAATTTCTTCCATTTTTGGCTTTCTACCTAGTTGTTTTCCTAAAATTTCTAATCTAGAATTTAATAAGACAGAATTTCTACTTTTGCACCAAATGGAAGACGTAAACTTGGCATGGAGGCCCGGAGCCTAGGTTGTGGATTTCCACATCTATATACTGAGGTTTGAACTCTAGCTCTGCCACATACTTGCTGGGTTTTCCTTGGACCTGACTATTTTCTCAAATACTCTAAGTCTCAGTTTTCTCATCTATAAAATGGGACTGCTGATAATATTTACTTTATAAGATTTTTGCAGGAAATCATTAAGAGAATTCTTCTACAGCACTTAGGATGACCTGACACCTGGTGGGAAATGGAGAACTGACCACAGTTTCACCAGACTACATGCTCCTTATAGGTCTGGGTACATTAAGTATGCCTGGCATAGTGTCTCAACCATAAATATTTTTGGAATAAATAAGTAAACAAGCAGTAATATGGCAACATTTTCTAGCTCGTTCCGCAAAGTGTTCCATGATAAACAAGCACTCTTGTCACCTTTTGCTTTGGTTTGAACTTGTTCAAACATGTTCTGGTCAAACACAGGTCAGCTAAGCCACTCACCTCGACTTGGATTTCTTATTTGCAGTGCTTTCAAAGGATGATGCATCCACCTGTATCTCATCTTCATCCTGCAGAGCCGCATCCAACGCAGCCTGGACCTTGGGGGCGATGGCTGGGCCCTCGTAGTCTCTGGTGGTGCGGCTGGGCATGTCCAGCTCTAACAGCACAATGTTTTCTGCCTGCAGAAGCACAGCCATCACCAGCTAAGTTGACCTCCATTCAGACACAGAGAGTACAAGCAATCTAGTCCTCTCCAAGAGCGGAACTATTCAGGGCCTACCAAGAAAGAACCTGCCTAGAAGAAGTGATGTGGTTTTATCGCTTTTTTCCTGGTGGGATTATAGGTGATTTTTATTTCCTTCCCTATGCTTTCCTATATTTTCCTTTTTTTTTTTCCTTTTAAATAATGAACATGTCTTATACCCTAAGGGAAATAATCCAGGAAAAATTATTAATTAAGCAAAGCCCATTTATTGCAGAGAGTTTGAAAATACAAAAAGGTATAAAGAAGAAAATAGTCATTACCAATAAAATCACCACCTATAGCAGTACTGATGAACTCTGCAGCTGCAGGAGGGAGAAGGCAGTGTGACGTTGTATGTGGAGGGTCTGCACAGTGTATGTGCATTTTAAAAACCAGATTGGGCCCTACCTCGTAATTGGCCTTGTGGATTGATCCATTCCTTCATTTGATATCCTGTGGTAAGCCTTTCCTGACTCCTAAGACAAGTATATAGAGGAAAGAGCACCCACAAATTTACACATGCCACCTTCTCCTCTGACTCCTCCCAGTCAGTGGAGTTCCAGTCCCAGGGCTCCAGAGGTAGGGCAGGTGGAGCCACTGCAGGGAAAAGGTGAAGAGAGAGGCTGGCCCCATTTACCAGTTTTAGATATTGAGATAGTGCATACAATTTCTCTGCAAGAAGCAGGCTCATTGCTAGAGACATTTGAGAGTCACTGCTTTAAATTATACTTTTGCATCAGGTTAATTCCCTAAAAACTTACATATTTGATTTGGGGGCTTTAAAATCACGTTTTTGGCTTACGACATGAAATAACTGGCAAGTTATGCACCACTGGCAACTACTAGAAAAATGCTTCTGAGGATTCTGTCTGACACACCACTCATCTTCCACTATATAAAACCTCACCGAATCTTTTTGGCTTTTGCTTTCTTTAATTTAAATAATGCAGTACCAGGAAGAATAGCACCTGAGGAACAAACTAATCCTAATCTCCTGTTTGGCTCTAGTTGCCAAGGGAGACTCAAACACATTTTTTGAAAATTTTAAGTGAAAATCTTTCATTATAAAAATAACCCAGCTTCCCTGTTTATAGTTATAAAATGCAGAGAAGCAAAAAGAAGAGAATTTAAATTGAGTGTACTTCCACCAACCAGACCTAACCAGTTCACATTTTGATACATTTTATGCCAGATTTTTTAATTCATATCCACACTTCTGGTACAAATTTTTTTATAGCTATACATTGTGTCTCCCAGTTCACCTCCTTGCCAGCTACCTGACTCACTGCAACAAGCAGAAGGGAGAGGTCAATTAGAGAAAGTGGTAAACTGTAAGTACAGTGTCCAGCACACAGCAAGAACTTATAAATAAAAGCTCTCATGGCATTTTTATTGTAAAATATTTTGGGGTCATTAAGTAGTCCTCAATTACATCACTTTAAATGACTACACAACTGACACGCATTATGTGAGATGGACGCACCAAGTTCATCTCCTATCACTAGGCATCTGCATTCTTTCCTATCTTCCCACAGAGCATTGTGAAGTTCATTGTTAATGTTTACTGGCCACTGAGGACATGATGTTTTGCACTCTCTTCTTTCCCTAGTCCTGACTTTCTAAACCTTATTCTATTTTACTTTTTTACTTACTATTATTAGTTATTATTTTTATTTGTTATTATATTTATTTATTATTTGTTGTAATTGTTGCTATTGTTATAAATATCTTCAAGTACCTCTGGAAATCATCAGGGCACAAACTCTGGGCAGAATAGTGCTTAAGGGTTTACATAGATCTAAACTCCTCCAAGAAAGAGAAGAGAAAAACCCAAGAACAATCTCCTCACCCTGTATCGGGCCTCTGGACGCATCATCATGGACATTCTTGCATGTTGGCTCAACGGTCTCTTATATCCCACGGCTGAGACTGGCCGCTTCATCATCTGCTGGTTCCTGGAAAGGGACTGCAGTGTTAAAGGCTTGGCTGGAGCGTGTTCCACAGCCCCGGCCCCAGCATTGGTCCTGTGGAACACGCACTCAGAAAACTCTGAGTCAGACAGAGCCTACACAAGTAACTTCCTGGACCTAGGCCTGACGTAAGTGGGGCAGGTGCTGCTTATATTTTCTGTTTGAGTTGCTTTCTGATTCAGATGTGTCATTCATTTTTTAAGCCAGAAGGGATTTTAGTCATCATCCAGTTCTTAGACAGCAGACACAAAGCATAGCTGCCAATATTCCCCCATCCCTGCATCCTTAGCAGACGTCTCCAATCTTCCCAGCAGGACCCAGACTCAGACTGAGAATCCTCAACTCTGTGGTCAGACTGACACACAAGGTAACACACCTCTGTGCTGCCCCTCCTTTGGCCTACCCCACTTCACTACACAGCTAGGGAAATGGAAATGCAGGAGCTTGGGAAAGATGAGTTCACTGGTGAAAAAAGTCTTCTAATTCCTAACACCACATTCATCAACAAACTTTCACCTGGTGGACCTACAGCAGCCACAAAGTCAGAAATGCAATTGATTCTTGGTTTAAATGAATCAAACTGTTTTTACCATGCCCCATTGGCCAAGTCCAGCTTATCAACATTCTTGCCTTTCTCCCCACATGAAAGTATACTTAAAGTCAATAGTGACTTACTCCAGTCTTGTTATAGGATGTAATTTCCAATGGTCTTCCTCTTCATCAAAGAAGGATCTATTCATAATTTTACTTTTTTCCTCCAGAGGGATAAAGTTTTCTATAATAAGATGCCTGTAAGAGCACACATAACATGGGTGAATACAGATCAAGATACACACAAGTGTTAGCTATCTGGTCTCCTATATAATGAGTAATTAGGTAAAAGTCAAGACACTTAGCAAACATTTACTGAGCAGGTACTATGGACCTAACATCATACAAAGAGCTGGGATACAGACGTGAATGACACCTAGTCCCTGCTTGAGACAAAGAGGTAATGGTGTAGCACTCTTATGTTTGACAGGTGCTGACAGTGGTCTGTTTTAGAAATATGGAGAAGTCACTTCTGCCTGGGCAGAAGCAGCTTGAGGATGTGAACGGGCTGAGGAAGGAAGCAATGCCTGGGCTACACTGGCATGAAAATTTGCTACCTGAAGTATCTTTAAGAAAGCCACTGGTGCTGCTAACCCAGGTCATTAACTTCTAAAATGCTGAAAACAGGCTGGGTGTAGTGGCTCATGCCTACAATCCTAGCACTTCGGGAGGCCGAGACAGGGAGGATGGCTGGAGCCCAGGAGTTCAAGACCAGCCTGAGCAACACAGTAAGGCTCTGTCTCTATAAAAAATAGACAAATTAGCCAAGTGTGATGGTGTGCACCTGTCATCTCAGCTACTTAGGAGGCTGAAGCAGAAAGATTGCTTGAGCCCAGGAGTTTGAGGTTATAGAGAACTATAATTGTGCCACTGCACTCTAGCCCAGGCAACAGTGTAAGACCCTGTCTTGAAACAAACAAACAAAATGCTGAAAACAGATTAGAAATTAAACTGCCTTCCTCTAGTCCCAAGGCTTGTTGTCCAAGCTGGAAAACTTCCCATTCTAATCCACCAGGACAAAGAGCAGAACCAAATGGATTTCAGTCCCTGAGAGCACTGATAATGAAGACCATTCCTGAGAGAGTCTCTGCCTGACAAATGCATGAGAAACATGTCAAACAAGGAAACTGGAACCCACTGGGCTGCATCTCTCCATGGTGATGACTGTTTCCTACGACAGCTCTCCCTTACTCTTCCAAAACCTTAGGACAGAACAATGTCAAAGGGCTGCTAATGTGGGAGGGATGCAGAACAAACACCACAGAGGTGTAGGATACTGTGAGAAACAGGCTGACTCATTGTTTATTCAAAAGATATCAAAAAGAACTATAACAATCAAAATGGCTTCCTTACGAAAAAAATATTTTTGGGAAATGAAATTTTCTCTTGATTTTTGTTTGCCATCTCAGAAATTATTTTTCATAACACATATTTGTTTTTTTTCTGATTACAAATGTCCTATTTTTTACATTAGATAATATAAATAACATAATTACCCACAATTTCACTATCTAGAGATAACTATTATTACTATTTTGGTATATTTTATTCTGATCTTTCTTCTAGATGTACATACCTACAAAGAGGTATGACACACATATTTAATTTTAAGGGTTCCTTTCCAAATTTAAAATTTGGTCATTAAAAGAATCCCTTTGAAAAGTTTTTCTGTAAAGAAAAATTTCAGCTCATGATGTAGAAGGACTGATGTAGAATAGAAAAACACCATTTTGTAACTCTTAATGAAATGATGGATTTAGACAGAGATCATTGTTGGCTGAAACCATTAGCTCAGTGGTTTTCAAGCCAGACTGCACATAAATATCACCTACAGAGTTTTGAAAAATATATTGCTTGGACCTCATGGAGACCAATAGTTCTCAAAGTGTGTTCACCAAACCAGTAGGAGGAATACCTGGAACCTGTTGGAAATAAAAATTCTCAGGCCCTGCCCCAGACTTACTCAATCAGACTCTCTGGGTGTGAAGCCCAGTAATCTGTTTAACAAGCCCTTCAGGTGATTCTAATGTCTCCTAAAGTTGAAGGACCAATGCCTTAGACCAATTAAATCAGAATCTCTGGGGTGGGGCCCAGGCATCACAAAACTCCTCAGTGTGCAGCCAAGGTTGAGAACCAGTGATTCAGAGCTAGCTAGCTTTCTGTTAAAGGGAAATAAGTGGGATAGTTAATCAAAGAAAGAGACTAACAAATCCAGAATGTGGCATATTTTTACAGGCTAATTCCCATCCAAGTACTAACCAGGCCTGCCCCTGCTTAGCTTCCGAGATCAGACAAGATTGGGAGCATTCAGGGTTGTATGGCCATAGACTCTACAGGCTATCTAACCTATACTTTTCAACAAGTCACCTATGAAAAAAAATTTTTTAAAAGAAAAAGGATTTCCTAAGGTTAAATTAAGTTTAAGAGACATAATAATCAAATGCAGCGTGCGGTCCTTATTTCTATCCTAAATACAAACAAACCAAGAAAATTTAAATATGATTGAGTTCTTGAAAATACTAAGAAACTTAATGTTAATTTTGTTAGCTGTAAAAATATCATTGTGTAGGCTGGGTGCAGTAGCTCACGCCTGTAATCCTAGCACTCTGGGAGGCCGAGGCGGGTGGATTGCCCGAGGTCAGGAGTTTGAAACCAGCCTGAGCAAGAGCGAGACCTCGGCTCTACTAGAAATAGAAAGAAATTAATTGGCCAACTAATATATATATAGAAAAAAAAAATTAGCCGGGCATGGTGGCGCATGCCTGTAGTCCCAGCAAATCGGGAGGCTGAAGCAGTACAATCACTTGAGCACAGGAGTTTGAGGTTGCTGTGAGCTAGGCTGATGCCACAGCACTCACTCTAGCCTGGGCAAAAAAATGAGACTCTGTCTCAAAAAAAAAAAAAATCATTGTGTATATAACAATCAATTGTATTTTTATACGTTAGCAATAAACATTCCAAAAATAAAATTAATAATGTCATATACAATACCATTACAAAAAAAGTAGATATAAATTTAATAAAAGACTTGTACACTAAAAACTATGAAACATTCTTGAGAGAAATTAAAGAAATAATAAGTGAAAAGATATATCATGTTCATGGATCAGAACACTTAATATTGTTAAGATGACAATATTCCTCTAATTGATGTACAGCTTCAACATAATCACTATCAAAATCCCAGCTGGCTGGCCGGGCGCGGTGGCTCACGCCTGTAATCCTAGCTCTCTGGGAGGCCGAGGCGGGCGGATTGCTCGAGGTCAGGAGTTCAAAACCAGCCTGAGCAAGAGCGAGACCCCGTCTCTACTATAAATAGAAAGAAACTAATTGGCCAACAACTAATATAATAGAAAATATTAGCCGGGCATGGTGGCACATGCCTGTAGTCCCAGCTACTTGGGAGGCTGAGACAGCAGGATTGCTTGAGCCCAGGAGTTTGAGGTTGCTGTGAGCTAGGCTGACACACGGCACTCACTCTAGCCTAGGCAACAAAGCGAGGACTCTTCTCAAAAAATAAAAAAAAAAAAAAAAAAAATCCCAGCTGGCTTTTTTGCAGAACTTGACAAGCTGACCTTAAAATGTATAGGCATACCTCAAAGACACTGTGGATAAAGTTCCAAGCCATTGCAATAAAGTGAAAATCACAATAAAGCAAGTCACATGAAATTTTTGATTTCCTGGTGCATCTAAAAAGTTATGTTTACACTATTCTGTAGTCTATTAAGTATGCATTATATCTAAAAAAAAGTACAAACCTTAATTTAAAAATACTTTATTGCTAAAAAATGCTTACACAGAGACACAAAGTGAACACATGCTGTTGGAAAAATGGCACCAATAGACTTGCTTGACACAGGGTTGAAATTCAATAAAGCAAAGTACAATAAAATGAGGTATACCTGTACATGGAGATGCAAGCAACCCTGAATAGCCACAAAAATCTTGAAAAAGAATAAGGTTGGAGGACTCACATCTCTTGATTTCAAAACTTACTACAAAGCTACAGTAATCAAAGCAGTATGGTATTAGCATAAGGATAGACATATAGACCAATGGAATAGTACTGAAAGTCCAGAAATAAACCCTTACATTTATGGTGAATTGACTTTCAACAAGGGTGCCAAGAAATTGAAATGGAGAGACAAGAGCTTTTTCAACAAATGGTGCTGGGACAACTAGGTATCTGCATGAAAGAGAATGCATTTGGAATTCTACCTCACACCATACACAAAAATTAACTCAAAATCAATTTTAGAACTAAATGTAAGACCTAAAATTGTAAGACTCTTAGAAGGCCTAAGAGAATTGAAACACATGTCCACAAAAAACTTGTACATGAATGTTCATAGCAGCAAGTTTGGGTGTTGTTCATAACACCCAAAATGTAGGATCAACCCAAATGCCCATCAAATGATGAATGGATATTATTTGGCCAGAAACGAAAAATGGAGTATTGATACATCCCACAACATGGATGACCCTTGAAAACATTATATCAAGTGAAACAAGCCAGTCACAAAAGGCCACATTATTCCATTTATAAATTTATATTACATAAAATGTTCAGAATAGGCAAATTTAGATACAATGCCAAAAGTATAAGAAACAAAAGAAAATACAGATAAATTGGGCTACATCAAAATTGAAATCTTTTGTGCTACAAGCAATACCATCAAGAAGAAAGACATCCCAAAGAATAGGAGAAAGTTACCTGTAAATCATGGATTTGATATGAGACTGATATCCGGAACGTACAAAGAAACATATAAAGAACTCTTAAAACTCAATAACAAAAAGACAACCCAATTTAAAAATGGGCAAAGGATTTGATCAGACATTTCTCCAAAGAAGATATACAAATGGCCAATAAGCACACAAAAAGATGCTCTACATCATCTGTCATTATGGAAATAAAAATCAAAACCTTAATGAAGTACTACGTCACACCCATTCAGGATGGCTATAGTAAAGACAGACAATAACAAGTATATCAACAAGGATGTGGAGAAATTGGTGGTGGAAATGTAAAATGGTGCAGCCACTGTGGAAAAGTTTGGTAGTTCCTAAAAAGTTAAACACTGAGTTGCCATATGACCTAGCAATCCCACTTCTACATATGTATCACAGAGAAATGAAAACATATAGCCATATAAAAACTTATACATGAATGCTTATGTCAGTTTAGTGATATAGCCAAAGACTGGAAAAATCCAAATGTCCATCAACTGATAGATAAATCAAATGCGGCATATCCATACAATGCAATATTATTCAGCTATAAAAAAGAATGAATGATGCTGAGACAACTACATATCTACTGATCCATAAATTCCTTAAAATTATCATGCAAAAGAAGCCAGTCACAAAAGACCACATTTTATGAGTCCATTTATATGAAATGTCCAGAACAGGCAATCCAAAGAAATGGAAAGACTAGAGGTTACTTTGGATTAGGGAAGGGGGTAATGAGAGATAACTGATAATTGGTATAGGGTTTCCTTTGTGGGGGGACAAAAATGTTCTAAAATTAGATTATAATGATGATTTCACAACCCTGTGAATGTATTTAAAAAACACTGATTCGTATACTTTAAATAGGCGAACTATATAGTATGTAAATGATATCTCAATAAAGCTTTTTTAAAAATACCATTGTGATCGTGTATGTAAGTATGTAGGAGTGCGATAATATGAGGTAAGATTTGCTTTGAAATATTTTTATTAAAGATGACAAAAATGTGTTAATCATTGAATTTGGGTGATGGGTATTTGGGTGTTCATTGTACCATTCAGAAAATTTTTTCATAATGAAAAGTCACATCCAGGCCGGCGGGCCGCTGCCATCAAGAGGAGGCACGGGATGCTGTTGGAGTGCGGGTCTGTGTGGTTGGTGTTGGCGAGGATGCTCAAGGTGGGCATCCGAGATTGGTTTCCCTGGAAGGCGGGGTACCTTCCAGGGAAACCTTCCATGTTCCTCCCAGTTCCGAGTCTGTAGGGTGCACTCACCTACAGTAGCTTTCAAAAGTTCTTCCTACCACTTCGCCATAAGATAAACATTTTAGATGTACGTCTTACATATTTCATATAAATGTCTATTCTGAAATAAAAACTTCACCAAGCAGTATTTACCATGATTTTTTTTTAATGTATGACCACAGAATTGGTTTTTTTCGCCTACTAATAAAAGAAACCCCACAATTTGAAAGCCACCAGGCTAGACCGGGTGCGGTGGCTCATGCCTGTAATCCTAGCTCTCTGGGAGGCCGAGGCGGGCGGATCGTTTGAGCTCCGGAGTTTGAAACCAACCTGAGCAAGAGCGAGACCCCGTCTCTACTATAAATAGAAAGAAATTAATTGGCCAACTAATATATATAGAAAAATTTAGCCAGGCATGGTGGTACATGCCTGTAGTCACAGCTACTTCGGAGGCTGAGGCAGCAGGATTACTTGAGCCCAGGAGTTTGAGGTTGCTGTGAGCTAGGCTGACGCCACGGCACTCACTCTAGCCTGGGCAACAAAGTGAGACTCTGTCTGAAAAAAAAAAAAAGAAAACCACCAATCTAAAGGACAATCTTTTTATTTTATTTTTTTGATACAGGGTATCACTGTCTAGAGTGCAGTGGCACCATCATAGTTCACTGGGGCTCCAACTCCTGGGCTCAAGCAAGCCTCTGGGCCGGACGTGGTGGCTCACACCTATAATCCTAGCACTCTGGAAGGCCGAGGCAGGCGGATTGCTCGAGGTCAGGAGTTTGAAACCAGCCTGAGCGAGACCCGTCTCTACTAAAAATAGAAAGAAATTAATTGACCAACTAAAAATACATACACAAAAAATTAGCCGGGCATAGTGGCACATGCCTGTAGTCCCAGCTACTTGGGAGGCTGAGGCAATAGTATCACTTAAGCCCAGGAGACTGAGGTTGCTGTGAGCTAGGCTGATGCCACGGCACTCACTCTAGCCAGGCAACAAAGTGAGACGCTGTCTCGAAGAAAAAAAAAAAAAAAAAGCAAGCCTCTGGCTTTGGCCTTCCAAGTAGCTAGGACTACAGGCAAATTCAACCAGGCTGGCTTTTTTTTTAGAGACAGGGTTTCACTATGTTTCCTAGGCTGGTCTTGAACTCCTGGCCATAAGCAATCCTCCTGCCTGGGCCTCCCAAAGTACTGGGATTACAGGAGTGAGCCACCATGGCTGGCCCATCCAATTTTTAGAAATGAAACATAGGAGGCTCAAACAAATTAAGGAGTCCACCTTTGCTACAAGGCTAGGAATCTAGGCCTCCAAGAAAAATAAATAAATAAATAAAAAGTCACATTAACAAAAGATTCCCTCTTATCAATAGATAGGAGGCCAGAACCTTTAAAACAAAAGGTAGGGTGGAAGGGAATTTGGAGATCATCTGAGGAAGCCATTCAGTTACCAGATGGCACCCAGAGATGGAAAGTGACTTTCAGGAAGAGACAGAAGATGAACAGGGTGGTAAGGGATGAGATGGAGAGAAGTGGGCAAGGGCCCTGTCATCAAGGGTATGTTTAACTTAACAAACAAGACCAATGTCCCAGCAAGTACATGTAGGAAGCCAAAAAAGGCCCAGCACTTACTTGAGTTTCAGCTCCCTGGTGAGCTCGTTCTGAGTCTGCTCCAGCTCTTGGCGCTCCTTGATGTGCTCTTCTTGGAGGTCGTGGATCTCGGCCTTCACCGCCTGAAGCTTGGAGAAGAGCTGGAACCGAGGGGAGAGGTAGGTGAGGACGGTGTCCATCTAAAGGATAGAGTGCTCCCTTTCCCCCAAGTCTCCAGGCACATCTGATTGGTCTTGTTCCTTTATACCTTTTTGAGTTTTTTGGTCTTGATGTCCACTTCTTGCTGCAAGGAACTGTATGTCTCTTTAAGTTCCAAGGTCTCCTCATCTCGACTTTCCATCTGTTGCTGGATTTCTCTTTCTCGACGTTTCTGAGCAACAACACAAAATTCATTACCTTGCCCTAGAGACTGTCTATACAAGAATACAGATCAGAGTCTCCAGCTAGGATGAGATTGACCCAACTTATAACATTTCCCTCAATGAGAATCTAACATATGAGATATTTACTCTGTGGCATAAACACATCTTGCCCCACACCATTCACCCCCAAAAAGAATGAAAAGTTACCTGCTCTGCAATTTCCTGCCGTTTCTGCTCCAGAATTTTCTGCTGTTCATTTGTATGATCTACTATATTTTTTCCTCCAACAAGCAGCTTACTCTCCATGGCCTGAGGGAGAAGCAGAGCAGAATCCATTTCATGAACAACTCCCTCAAAACCCAACTCCTCATAGGGGGGCCCACAAAAGACAAAGAGCTCAGGACTGAGCCAAAGGGACAAACTCTGGGAAAAAATGTGTTGTGCTCAGCTGTACTGTCCCTTCACTGGCACAGGGCTAGGCAGCTTCACTACAGTCTCTACCGTAGTAACCTCAAGATACAGCTTTGCCAGACATTCATGTATTTCACCTTTAACAACATATGTTTTTATTTGTTGCTACAAAGTATGAACCCCACCTAGAACATACAAAGTAGCCCCTATGTGTTAGGTGCTGGGGAGGCCACTGTGAGTGTGAATCGCAAAGCTCAGAGTCCACAGAGCAACAGAGATGAGTGGGCTTTATCCCTATGGTGCCAGACGCCATCAGCAGGAAAGTACAGAGTCATTAATGGTAGAGGCACACTGGAGATGGAGTCAGGAAAGCTTCCTGTGAGGGCCGTCTGCTCAGAGTACTGAAGTAAGAAATAGGAATCACTTAAGACAAAAAGGATTTTTTTCTGACAGGGTAGGATAAGGAGTGATGATACACGAAGTTGGTCTAAAGCCCTGTGAAGGATACTAAACTTGATTCTGAAGACCTTGGGGAACCGCTGGCATGGTCTTTGAGCATGAGAGTCCATGATCTGATTTGTGTTTTAGAAACATTACTCCCCTGCAAGGGGAAGAATGACTGGAAAAGGGCTGGTAAGATGGTGGGAGATCAGACAGGAGGCTAGGCCTGGGCTAGGCCTTCTCCCCAGCGCGAGTGGGCAAAGTTTGGGTCCAAGAGACCCTGATAAGGCAGGATCCAGAGGCCTTGGGGCTGAATGGGCACTGAAGAGAGAGGGAAGGGCAGCCAGCAAGGATGACTCCCAGGGGTCTGGCTTCATGGATAAGGAAGCAGGAGCAGGCTCTGGGGGCTGTGGGGGCCTGTGAGCGTCTTGGTGGAGATGTCCAGTAGGCAGAAGCTACCAGGCCTGCATGGCAGAAGACGGCTCTGGACTAGATACACAGATTGGAAGCCTTCAGCATTTAAATGGGGGCTGAAACCATGGGACTGATTTACACCTGAAAAGTACAGAACCCCAAAACTCCACAACCTTGCTTTTAAGGAACTTACAGACATTCACTGCAACCCTGCTGCCACCTTTCAGCAAGTCCTTTGAGCCTGTTTCCTCTTCTCTCAAATGAAAGGGCTGGACTAGATTACTAACCCTCTACACGCATACCTTCCAACTCTAACATTCTTTTGTTCTATAATTTTACAGCATCCAGGGACTGAGACAGACAGAAGTATTGTCATTCTCCACAGACAAAATGTCTGAGAGATGAAGTGACCTTGAGGTAACGCGGCATCTTGCCATACTCGGCCTCTGAGAGTTCAACCTCCAAGAGGTTATTTAGAGAATCTAGGTGCTCCTGGCCTTGAATAACAGGTGTGATCCTAAAACACAGTAGGCAAATCAAAGGCAGGCACACCCAGTCATACATTGAGTGCAACAGTGAGGAGTGGCTGAGTAGTATTCTTTCCTACGAAGTGCATCCGACACGATGGCATCTCATAGTAAGCCCCTCCCTGGGACAAAATTACTTCCTAATTGTGTATAGTATATGACCCCATTTTCACAACAGGTCTTAAAAGGCCTGGAAGAAACTTCCAAGGTTGTAAGATCCCTGCCTCTGAAGTAAAATAGCACCCAGCTCTGGAAAAGGGTTACAATGAAGCCACAGATAAACAGTATAGCGTCATATAGTGGGGCAAACAGATACAAGAAAGAGAGAACTTGTCATTTTTAAATTCATAAACATGCATACATTTTAGAGTAGAAATCACAGTTTGCATAAATTCAATAAGATAGAACCAGACACTTCCAAGGAATTCTGGCTTGTGGCTAGCCAGTGGCCATCCTCAGACCTCCAAGGCCACCTCTGCATCCTTCTCTGCCATTAAAGTCCAGTGGCAGCCCAGAGTCCAGGCACCTGAGGGAACAGTACACTGCTGCCAGAAAGAAGACTCAAAACAATGGTAGCCTCCACACTCTAGAATACTACTCAGCCACTGGTAGAAAATGAGTATGTAAGGAAATGTATTGGCACACAGCGGTTAGAGGTTGGGTTGGGGGGTTGACTACAAGGGAGAGGCCTGAGGACATTTTGGTGGTGCTAGAACTGTCTTGTATCTTGTATAATCAAGGTACTGCATACTAAAACCACACTGAGATACCACACCACACACAAATGTTAGTCTGATAATCACAAGTGTTTGTAAGGATGAGGGGCATCCAGAACTCATACCCTGCTGGTAGACACTTCAATCTATACAGCTACCTTATTTTTTTTATTTATATTTTTTAAATTTTTTGAGACAGGGTCTCACTCTGTTGCCCAGGCTAGAGTGCAGTGGTACCATCACAGCTCAGTGTAAGCTCAAACCCCTGGGTTCAAGTGATTCCCCTGGCTCAGGCTGCTGAGTAGCTGGAACTACAAGGACGTGCCACCACACATGGCTAATGTTTCTATTTTTTTCAGAAATGGGAAAAAAAAAAAATTGGTGCTCAGACCTTTAGATTCATTGTAAGTTGCCACTGCCAATGAGACCAAAGTGTGTGACTTGTCAATATGCAGTGTGACAGCATTAAAGACTGATGCTAAACCTCAAAAAAAAAAAAAAAAAGAAATGGGGTCTTGCTATGTTGCTCAGGCTGGTCTCAAAGTCCTGACCTCAAGTAATCCTCCCACCTTGGCCTCCCAAAATGCTAGGATTATAAGCATGAGCCATCACACCAGCCACTTTAGAAAACAACTTGTCCTTGTCTAGTGAAGTTGAAGCTACACATACCCCAGGACCTAATGGTACCAGACAAGAAACTCTTACACGTTCATGTTCTCCTGGAGCCAAGTACAAGAACATTCACAGCAGAAAAGTGGAAACAACCCATACCATCAGGAGAATGGAATACCACAGAATACTCGGAACAGTAATAATGAATGGTTACAGGCATCAGTGTGGATCTCAAGAACATAATACATAATAATGTGGAGCAAATAAAAGCAAACTGCAGCAGTGAGATTCCATTTATATAAAACTAAAAAATTATGTGACACTATATTCTATTTCGAGATATATACATATATGGCAAAACTATAAAGAAAAGCAAGGAAATAGTAAACAGCAAATTCAGGATGATGGTTATGTCTGGAGGAGGGGAACACAAGCAGCTTCTAAAGATATGAGAGCTGTTCTAGTCCTCACATTGGGTGGTGAGTACATTGGGTATACTTTTTGCTGCTGTGCTTTATACCTTGCACATATGTAACAGTCATCCCTATTATGAATTCCATTTATATTTTTAAATTAAAAAAATCATTTTCATTTCAATTCCACAAAGGTATACTAAGCAGTGGATAGATACCATGGAGCTAGTGGGGAATGCAAAACCAAAGAGACATCATCCCTTGTATCATTTCTTTTTGATAAAAGAAAAAGCACTGATTGGGCAAGGGCATAAGGAAGGGTATAGTACCTTGATCTTGGCGCCCAGCATCTCGGCAGCATCCTTCTCTCGCCGCAAATCCTCCATCTTTTTCTCCTTCTCCTTCAGCAGCCTCATCTTCTCCTCTGCAACCAAGCTGTGGTCCTCTACAATGGCCCGCTTCTCAATCTCCAGTTTTTCTTGCTGTTCCCGCCAGTAATCATCCTTATCATCCCCTTCCTCCTCACCCTCTTCTCCCTCCTCCTCCTCCTCTTCCCCACCCCCACCACTGCCACCACCTTCCCTCCGCTTCTCTCGCCTCTTCCTTCTGCCAATGGACCGTTTTTCCAGCTGGGCCTTGAGCCGAGCAATCTCTTCCTGGAATTCTCGAAGGAGGGCATCCTTAGGATCTTCATTGACCCTTGGTTTGTTCTTAATGTTTTTGGCACGGTTGGCATATCGCAGAGTGGTCAGAGTCTCTTCTACATTGTAAGAGGCAGGCCCCACGTTGGCGACCATCACAGTCTTGGCATTGCCACCGAGGGAATCTTGGAGGAGCCTGGTAAGCTTTGAGTCCCGATATGGAATATGAGTGCTTTTGCCATCTACCAGGGCAGAGATGACATTACCCAAGGCTGAAAGGGAGAGGTTGATCTTGGTAGCTTCCTTTAATCTTTCCCCTTGTGCGCCAGTCTTGGCTTGCCGTTCGCTGCCTGCGAGATCTACAAGGTTCAATTTCCCTACACGGATATGGTTTTCACCATCGAGGCCCACCTCACTGCACTCAATAGTAATAACAAAAATTGCATGAGAACGTGAGCTGTGCTCATTCATGTTGGTAGCACCGACAGAACGGTTCTGGTTCCCCACATTCATCACGTGTTCTATCTCCTTCACGCTCTTGGTAACAAAGGAAGACAGGTCTTTCACATACACTCCAGTGTCAGGCCTCTCTTTCAGCTCAAGCCTTTTTGTCTGATCCTTGGAGAGCAGATCTCGGATCTCCTCCTGGTAGATCTCTAAGTAAGAAGCCCTGACCAGGTACTGTTGATTCTGGGATCGAGAGATGTGGGTGAAGATGTGGTCAAATGAGTTAGGAATGACCCCTCTTTTTTCAGGGTCACCACGGACCCCTTCCATCGTGTAGGTTTTCCCAGTCCCAGTTTGTCCATAGGCAAAAATTGTCCCATTGAAACCTTGCAGGACAGAGTCCACGAGTGGTCGGAACGTCTCATCGTAGAGTTCAAACTGCTTGGCAGTCCAGTCATAGACCGCATCAAAGGTGAAGGTCTTGGGCATTTCATGGGCTGTTCCTTTGGGGTTCTTCACAGATACCTGTCCCAGCTTCACATCCACATCCACCACCTTGTCATAGGAAGCAGCCTTCTCCTTGCCATTCATGGGCCGACAGCGAACCACCACCCTGACGGACTCTGAGCTTTTCAACTTCGACATGATGAACTCTGACTGGGTCAGTCGTGAGGGCTATGAATCCAAAACGTCTCAGGATGCTAAGGTCCTAGAAAAAAAGCAAAAGTAAATAAGTACGGTACAGTTGTCACTGGGGGCTTCTTGATAGAAGCTGACACACCCAAGTCATCTCATCTTGCTAACCTTTTGACAGCCATATTCAATAACTATACCACACTGTGTATTTCCTCACAGGATCTTCAGCTTCAGCAGTTAAAAAAACAAACAAACAAATAAAAATTCCAGGCCACCAATATTGTTAACTACCCTATTGTTCCTTCAATCAATACTTGATCTCATACTACAAACAGAGGCAGCTGGAAATCTTTTAAAAGCCTGGGTGATCTTATATCCTGTTTAACTACGACAGCCTCTAGGTAGAGCAATTTGGAACCATCTATCAAAATTTAAAATGCACATACCTTTTGACCTAGCAATTGTATTTCTAAGAATTTATCCTACAGATACATGTCTCTTACAAAGACATATATAGATGGATATTTATTGTGGTAGCAATAGACTATGGACAACCCCAATTCCCATCAAGAGGAGACTGATTAAATTATATATATTTAGTACATATGTAGTGGAATCCTGTGTAGTTATTAAAAACAATGTGGTAATCTCAATGTAATCCTATACCAAGATAAGTTAAGTGAAAAAACTAGGTGACAAACAGTGCATATAATACAGTTTACACAGTGTGTAAAATGGGGGCTATAACACCAAGGGTGAGCTTTAAGGTAATTTTTGGACATTGGGCGATAATGATGTGTCAATGTAGGTTTCTCACCTGTAACAACTGTACCACTTTGGTGGGAGATGTTGACAATGGGGGAGGATGTGAATGTGTGGAGGTGTATATGGGAAATCTCTGTACTTTCTGCTTAATTTTGCTGTGAACCTAAAAATTCTCTAAAAACAGTCAATTAAAAAAATATAAGTACATACAAAAAGGGGAGGTTGTATGCATGTTATGTGCTTGCTGTGCACAAATACTGTTAGAAGTAAACAGGGTAAGAGTGATAGCAGTGGCAGCCTTGTCAGGGGAACTATGAGCCTGGGGGACTTAGATGTCTAGAGAGAGAGAAACATTTTTCACTGTGTACTTATTTGTGCTGTTTGAATGTCCTCGCTTGTGCTGACAACACTTTCAGTTCTAAAATCATCAAAAAAACTGACTTGTGCAAAATATGTTCAAATAAATAAGGATGTGGTGTAATGCATTACATAGAAAGCACTTATTCAATCAATAAATTCAATAGAGAGACTGTGAAGGCAAATAAGAAAAGCGGTGTTAAAATTTTTTACAGTAAGAACAAAAAAGAGAGAATTTCACTAGGTGCCAGAAAACAGAGAGAATAGAAGAAAGGACTCCATGGGTCCAGTGGGAAGGGGGAGGGAATAAGGAGATCAGAGTAAAGAGGTACACATGAGGACCTCAAACCCCTGAAAATCTCAACGTGGGATTTTTAAAAATAGTAATTCACATGGTTCTTGATCAAAAGGTCCCGTGATCTCCTTCCTTCACCTATTCTCCAGCTACCCTGTTCCCCTGCCCACAGACAATCATTATTATTTTTTTAATTTTATTTTTTTTTGAGACAAGAGTCTTGCTCTGCCACCTGGGCTAGAGTGCGGTAGCATCATCATAGCTCACTGCAACCTCAAACTCCTGGGCTCAAGCAATCCTCCTGCCTCAGCCTCCCGAGTAGCTGGAACTATAGGTGTGCTACCACACCTAGCTAAATTTTTCCCTATTTTTTGTAGAGATGGGGTCTCATTCTTGCTCAGCCTGGTCTCAAACTCCTGTCCTCAGGCAATCTTCCCGCCTCCGCCTTCCAGAGTGGTGAGATTACAGGTATGAGCCACCTCACCCAGCACAAATACGTATTAATAACACTTAGCCCCTTCCTATTTACACAAGCATATTTTACACAATAAATACACAATAGCCTACCTTTGGCTTTTTCTTACTAAACAACCTATCTTAGGGTTTGTTCCCTCAGTAAATACAGAGCAGCCTTATTCTTTACAACAGGAACAAAATATTCTACTGTATGGATGTACCATAATTGATGCACTTCAGTTGTTTCTGATATTTTGCTGCAAAAAGCCAAGGCCATATAATTATTTCATGTGTAAGAAAGTATGTCTATAAGGATAAAGTCCTAGAAGTAGAATTGCTGAATCAAGGATATATGAATCTGTAATTTTAAAAGATATTTACAATAGTGACAACAGTATTCTTTTTAGTCGTGGGAATGACCCATTCCACACCAACAAAAGGGGGGAGAATGTGAAGCAGTGATGAACCACTTTGGGCATATATGCTGCAGGTTCATACCCAGTCAATATGTTCCCCCCATTGATCACAGATTGTTCTGCTGCTCAGCACATGGAAACACAAAAAGTAACTTTTCATATTTCTTCTAGCTGTTACATGTAATAAAATACTGTTGTCTAGAATGAAGGACCAGAAGAAGACCTCTTATCCTTTCTGAACTTTTTTTCTGTAAAATCTGTAAAAATAGGGTCATTCTCCCTCCTTACGTTGATTGTGAGACTAAGAGTTGCTTACAAAGATACAAGTACTTTGTAAACTAATATAAATTAGTGGTGGCTCATGCCTGTAATCCTAGCACTCTGGGAGACCGAGGCGGGTGGATCGCTCAAGGTCAGGAGTTGGAAACCAGCCTGAGGGAGACCCCGGCTCTACTGAAAATAGAAAGAAACTAATTGACCAAGTAAAAATATATATAGAAAAAAATTAGCCAGACATGGTGGCACATGCCTGTAGTCCCAGCTGCTCGGGAGGCTGAGGCAGTAGGATCGCTTGAGCCCAGGAGATTGAGGTTGCTGTGAGCTAGGCTGACACCATGGCACTCACTCTAGCCTGGGCAACAAAGTGAGACTCTGTCTCAAAAAAACCCCACAAAATTAATAATATAGATTCATCCAAGGGATGAATTGTCAAGGGACCATTCCAGAGATTACAGGTGAGCCCTAATTTTATGCATCAAACATCACTAAAATAAGATTTCTATTGTTCAACTTGAAGCTATCATTCTTAAAAAAATATCACATTTTTAACACTGGGGCTCTTATCAAAGAAAAAAAAATATCACATTAAATTGGGATCTAAGTACCTAGTTGATGTTCAATAAGAACTAAATAGCAAGCCACGTAAAGAAAGCTATGTAAAAGGCAGCCCTTTGGTTCATTCTTCATCTTCTAGATGCTATTAGAATTTTGCAGATGGGCAGAAAGAAACATGTTAGAATGGCCAGTTTACTATGTCTCCTTTTCACTGCAAGGGGAATGGCCCCTCAGCTACAGTCTGTCTTTCCCTCCATTCCAAGAGGCCTGCCAAGGCTGATCTGGGTGCAAAGTGACAATCCCAGTGCCTGAGCCACCTCTGTGGATGCTCTCCTGCAGAGCACGAGACAGCCAGACAAGATCCTAGACTTGAAAGACGAAGAGAAATATAAGGGCAGGGTGGGGCAGGGAGACAGGTCAGGGGAGAGGACCGATTCTTCTGCATTACCCACTCCTGCGAACAGAGCTATCCAACTTTCACCTCTCAAAACATTGTGGTTCCAAACCTATTTCACAAAAATAAGAAGAAAAGAAGAAGCAGTAAGCTGCAGCAAGATGATCTTAGGGTTCAGCTGCTTTCTAATAGCTCTGTACATTTTTTGAGCTCTCCAATATGATAAAAACAAAGCAATGATAATGACCTACATCAATCTTAAAAAACTCTAAAAAGAAAGGAATTCCCAAAGCATGAGTGCCCTTAATTAAATCTCCTCAACTCTGAACACAGGACACCATTTCTTTTCTGAACACATCCAGCTAGACTGAACTAGTCAAGTATTATTGACATATTATTTCAGGAAAATAGACTAATTTAATTTCCTGCCAGTGAGGCTTAAAATCTTATTCTCCTCAAAGGAAAGAGTTTTCTTGGAAGGATGCCCTGATACTCTTTATTACCTTCCTTATTCTTCTTCTAGTGGGTCTAATTACAGGGTGATAAATCTTTAAAGGAATTCACAGTGTTGCCAGGAAAGAAGGAAGCACAGGTCAGCAGCTCCTCACCTTCATCCCGAATACCTTTCTACTTGGACTTGTCATTCAGTGTTAGCACCTGCTGTCTGAATGGCTATTTTTTTTTTTTTTTTGAGACAGAGTCTCATTTTGTTGCCCAGGCTAGAGTGAGTGCCGTGGCATCAGCCTAGCTCACAGCAACCTCAAACTCCTGGGCTCAAGCGATCCTGCTGCCTCAGCCTCCCGAGTAGCTGGGACCACAGGCATGCGCCACCATGCCCGGCTAATTTTTTCTATATATATTAGTTAGCCAATTAATTTCTTTCTATTTATAGTAGAGACGGGGGCCTCACTCTTGCTCAGGCTGGTTTCAAACTCCTGACCTCGAGCAATCCGCCCGCCTCGGCCTCCCAGAGTGCTAGGATTACAGGCGTGAGCCACCGCGCCTGGCCGTGAATGGCTTACACATGAAAAATCGAGTTTTCCCCCAACCTCATTTCTTTTGTCCTCTAAGGAAATCAGCTGCATATTTCTCATGGCAGCCACAGTCTTCCAGACCATTCTTCAGCACTTTCATGTTTCAGTGCATGTGTCCTTATCCTGCTAGTTGTCATGGAGTCTCAGCTCAGAGGCTAGAACTAGGTGTGGACTGGATTCTCAGTAACTATTGGCTTTCTCTAGGGATTCTAAGATAGGTCACAGCTGGTCACATTCTACCTGAAACATTTTATTTGGCCCATCTGGTATTTAAAATGACAACAACAACAAACCCTCAGCAATTCCACATCTATATATATACATGTCCTGGTGAAAACCTTTGCACAAGGAAACATGGACAAACATGCTGCCTATAGCATTGTTTTAATAGTAGAAAAACTAAAAACAACCTAACATCTATTTACAAGGGAATTGAAAAATAAAATATGGTATAATCATATACCAGACAATATACCATTCAGTAATTACAAGAAATAAATTAAAGCAAGGGTCAGGAAACTATGGCCCAGGATCCAAATCTGGCCCACAGCCTGGTTATGTAAATAAAGCTTTATGGGAACAGTTATACATATTATCTATTGCTGCATTAACTGTAGAGTTGAGTAATTGCAACAGAGATAATAAGGCCCACAAAACCCAAAATAGACCGGTGCAGTGGCTCACACCAATAATCCTAGCACTTTGGGGAGGACAAGAGAGGATCACTTGAACCTAGGCGTTCAAGACCAGCCCAAGCACCAGAGATCCTGTCTCTACAAAAAACATTTTTTAAAAGATTAGCCGGGCATGGTGATGAATGCCTGTAGTCTCAATTACTTGGGAGGCTGAGGCAGGAGGATCTCCTGAGCCCAGGAGTTTGAGGTTGCAGTGAGCTATAATCATGCCACTGCATGCTAGCTTGGGCCACAGAGCAAGACCATATCTCAAAACAAACAAAGAAAACAACCAAACAAACAAACACCTAAAATATCCTGGCCCTTTTACAGAAAAAGTCTGCCAACTTCTGAATTAGAGTTACATATATTAACATGAATAAATATCTACAGGTTGAGTGAAAAACCAAGCTGCAGAGTAATAATTATGATTAGAAACTTACAAAACAATATGGTGCTCATATGTATGTATAAGTATAAAAAAATAGAAGGATATACAATAATTTATAATAGTGGCTGCCAAATTAGGCAGTAGGAAGTGTAGAAAATGAAACTAGAGATGGGAAGGATATTTCAACATTATCTGTAATTTTTTTTTCTTTTTTTTCTTGAGACAGAGTCTTACTCTGTCACACTGGCTAGAATGTAGTGGTGTCATCATAGCTCACTGCAACCTCAAACTCCTGGGCTTAAGCAATCCTCCTGCCTCAGCTTCCAGAATGGCTGGGACTATGGATGCACACCACCACATCTGGCTAATCTGTAATATTTTAATATTTCTCTTAAAAAACAAAAATGGGTAAAAAGGGTCTGAAGCACATAGGAGAAAATGTTAATAACAGTCAATTCTGGCTATTTCCTATATTATTCTCTGATTTTTTTTAATTTAAAAAAACAGCAACAACTAATTTCACTTTTTTTTTTTTTTGAGACAGAGTCTCACTTTGTTGCCCAGGCTAGAGTGAGTGCCGTGGCGTCAGCCTCGCTCACAGCAACCTCAATCTCCGGGGCTCAGCGATCCTCCTGCCTCAGCCTCCCGAGTAGCTGGGACTACAGGCATGCACCACCATGCCCGGCTAATTTTTTGTATATATATTTTTAGTTGGTCAATTAATTTATTTCTATTTTTGGTAGAGACGGGGTCTCGCTCAGGCTGGTTTCGAACTCCTCACCTTGAGCAATCCGCCCGCCTCGGCCTCCCAAAGTGCTAGGATTACAGGCGTGAGCCACCGCACCCGGCCTAATTTCACATTTTTAAAAGAATTCTTTTTATGCTTTTCTGGAAGAATGGGAATATGTGACAGCCCTTGACCTGAGCCCCAAGTGGCAGCAATGGGAGCTTATCCCTCTGCTGGGCCTGGGCACTCCAATCCTCCCCAACACTACTCCCTCCTGTCTCATACCAGCATACTTTGCTCATTTATACTTCCTGCCTGGCTCCTGTAGGCATTTCTTGTCTAGGACCAAATTCATGTATACATGATCTGATTAAGAGAGGCCTGCCATTCTAGTCCATCTTTTTAAATGACATTTACCAAGGCTCTGTAATGACATGGAAAATGCTTATCATAAATGAAAAAGCAATTCACAAAATTGAATGACTGCATATAATCACAAATATATAAAAATAAAAACACATCAAAACATCAAAAGTGGTCTACTTTGAGTATAGGTGATTTCCCCTGCTCTTTCAACATGTCTGTATTTTCCAAATTCTCTTTACTGAGCATGTGGTATCTCCAAATGGGAAAAAATAAAGGTCTGGAAATTCCCCAGGAATAACCCTGTGAGGAGACGTGATCTGTGGGCACACAGCTTGCATACTAATGCATCTCTAATCAATGCATTCCAAAGCAATGTCCTCTAAGATCAGACCAGGCAACCACCTGCCAACTGCTTGGCCTAGAGTTCAAGGACTCAGTATCTGAAATGCAGCCTGAACCATAGATCACATGAGCCATCAGAAAAGCACTGTAACACCTGAGCAAGAAGATAAAAGCGACTCCCTATTAACCAGCCTAAACCAATTCCCTGCCCAGGAGTCTCGCAGGGGAAGCAGCTGTATCCACCTCATCACCATAAACACTACTCTCTTTCACGATTGTTTCTAATTGTTTTTGAAGTACCAGGACTTCTTGTTTGCAATCCCCGAACCACATCAAGAGAGCCAGCCCAATTTTGGGTCTCAGGTTCCTAAAAAGGCCAGTTATCATAATTGGAGTTACACCCTTTTCAAAACAAGATTATCTATCTCCAGTTGAAAAATAACACCACTGCCCTACAGAACTTTCAAAAGGACATGTTTGTGTTGAAGGAATAGTTCTACATTTACTTATATGTGCACAAAATATATTTGCAGGGATATGCAAGAGCCAAATAACAACAACAATTGCCAGATAACAACACTGGCTTTTCCTAAAAGAGCTGGGTAGATGAGTGCCAAGAGTAGGAGGGGGAGACTTTTCATTGCATATTCTTTTATATCTCTCAAGTTTTGAACCGTGTGAATATATTACCTAGTCAAAAAAATAAAATTAAGGGGAAGAAAAAAAGTGGAAAAGTTTTGTGAAATTAAGTAAACTAATATCCAAGCGTTAAAACTCACTTTTCCCATTTCATCTATTCATTTTTGCTGACCACCATGAATATAAAGTAATAAAAACATTTTAATTGATGAATGAGACCTAAGAGTAAAACTACTTATCCCAAATTTACAATGAATCTTCATAAAAGAGTTTCTATGAGGTCCACTGAAAGGGAATTTTTAACTTTCTTATAATAGAGCAAGTCATGTAGCCTCAGCTTTCAAAGACATTAAGAGCAATGATGTCAAAATAACAAGACTAATAAAATATGTTGTTAAAGGGACTGTTTATAAACAAAGTCATCTTTTCTGTAAGCCAAATAGTTGCCTGAGCTGTCTAAAAAGTTTCAAAATGTCCCTTACAGCAGCGGTCCCCAACTTTTTTGGCACCAGGGACCAGTTTCGTGGAAGACAATTTTTCCACGGGCCGGGGAGGGGAATGGTTTCAGGATGATTCAAGTGTGTTATTTTATCATGCAGTCAAACCTCTCTGCTAATGATAATCTGTATTTGCAGCCGCTCCCCAGCGCTAGCATCACCGCCTCAGCTCCACCTCAGATCCTCAGGCATTAATTAGGATCAGGTGTTCTCAAACTACGGCCTGAGGGCCACATGCGGGTGTTTTTGCCTGTTTGTTTTTTTACTTCAAAATAAGATATGTGCAATGTGCATAGGAATTTGTTCATAGTTTTTTTTAAACTATAGTCCGGCCCTCCAATGGTCTGAGGGAAAGTGAACCAGCCCCCTGTTTAAGAAGTTTGAGGGCCCCTGCATTAGATTCTCATAAGAAGCACGCAACCTCGCATGCGCGGCTGCCCGCCTAACAGAATCTACTGTAGCTGCTGATCCAACAGGAGGGGGAGCTTAAGCGGTGAAGCCAGCAATGGGGAGTGGTTGTAAATTCACAGGAAGCTTCACTTGCTTGCCCACCCCTCACCTGCTGCTGTGTGATCCTGTTCCTAAGAGGCCAAGGACCATTACTGGTCCACAGCCTGGGGGTTGGGGACCCCAGCCTTACAGGACGTGTAAGAGCCATGGCATCTCAAATTGGTACAACTTATTTGAGGGCAGTGGGCAATCAATACCAAAACTAAATGTGAATACTCCCTTGAAACAGAAATTCCACATCTTGAATTTTTTTTTTTTTTTTTGAGATAGGGTCTCACTCTGTTGCCAGGGCTAGAGTACAGTGGAGTCATCATAGCTCACTGCAACCTCAAACTCCTGGCGCCAGCAACTCTACTGCCTCAGCCTCCGGAGTAGCTGGGGACTATAGGTGTGTACACCATGTCCAGTTAAGGTTTTTTATTTCCCCATTTTTTGAGAGAGGGGTCTTGCTGTTGTCCAGGCTGGTCTTGAAATCCTGGCCTCAGCAATCCTCCCAACTCAGCCTCCCAAAGTGTTAGGATTACAGGTGTGAGCCACCACACTGGCTCTCTATAGTTACTTTAAGGCATAATTAATAACTGAATACATGTGCAAAGATGTATGTAAATATTTCTGTTGATCATAGCACCATCTCTGAACACTTAAAATACTCACCAATAATGGGTTGGTTAGATTATGGCACATCTTACAATGGGAAACTATGGAGTCATTAAAAATGTCAGTAACCTCTAGGTATTTAGATATGGGAAGATATTCATGATATATTGCTGAGTGAAAAAGCAGGATGCATTAATGTTTGTGTGTTACATCTGAGGCTGAGGCAGTAAGGTCACTGGGGCCCAGGAGTTCAAGGTTGCAGTGAGCTATAATGACTCCACTGTACTCCAGCCCTGGCAACAGAGTGAGACCCTATCTCAAAAAAAAAAAAAAAAAAAAAAAAAAAATCCAAGACATGGAATTTCTATTTCAAGGGAGTATTCACATTTAGTTTTGGTATTGATTGCCCAC